CAGATTCGTGAAATGAAGTTGTCTGATTTCCTCAGCGTGGGGTTTTATAGTTCAGAGTTCAGGGTTTAGGGTTCATTACCCCACCAGAGGGTGTTGAAGGCGGCGAAGCAGGCCACATCCTCTCTGCATGGACTGCAGCGAAGCCTCGAGTGTTTCCTCTAACCCTAAACCCTAAACCCTAAACCCTAAACCCCAAACCCTAAATCTAAGCCCCCCTCAGCGCATGCCCAACAGCCCGAAGGTCGGAGACAGGAGGGGGATTCCGGGACCCGGAACCCTGAGCCCATCTGAATACCGCCCCCTAAGCCCTAAACCATAAACCCTTAGGGTTCAGGGTTTAGGGTTTAGGGTTTAGGGTTTAGGGTTTAGGGTTTAGGGTTACGGTTTAGGGTTTAGGGTTTAGGGTTTAGGGTTTAGGGTTTAGGGTTTAGGGTTTAGGGTTTAGGGTTTAGGGTTTAGGGTTTAGGGTACCCTAAACCCGACGCCTGCTCAGAATGCACTGACCCCGCAGCGGCCGCAACGCCGACATGGCTCACACACGTATCGGGTGCTGCGATATTGCTGGAAAAATCCGGTACTCAAGTGCAAGAAATATGTAGGGTTTAGGGCTGAGGGTTTAGGATTCCAGGGTTCAGGGTTCAGGGTTTAGGGACCCGAACCACCCCCTAGACATGCACCTTCTAGCTGTCGAGCACTCAAACCACCAATTTCACGGACTTTGCTTTTTGGACTTGGACCCCAGTTTGTCCCTAAACCCTGAGCCCTGAGCCCTTAACCCTAAACTTGGCAGACCCACGTTTGCTTCTAGTGATGGCGCTTCTTTCGGGCGGTGCGAACTCGTAGCCCTCAAGGCCAAGAAAGGACTGACTTCAACTGCGGTTTAGGGTTTGGGGTTTACGGTTTAGGGTTCAGGGCTAGTCTGCACCTTGAGAAAGGCTGCGGTTCGGAGGACGTTGAACCTAAAACAGGTGAAGCCTAAACCCAATTTTAAACCCCTGAACAGCAAAAAATGCCGAGCCAAAGAGGTTTAGGATTAAGGGCATTAGGGTTTAGTCTAGGGTTTAGGGCTTACCCCCTGAACTCTAAGTCCTAGTCTTTCAGAAGGTCGAGGCTACACCTGCCTAGCTTCCATTTCGCCGCCAGCTGTCGGAAGTGCCAAACTGTACGTCTGTACAAGGCGCGTGCCGAAAATGAGGTGGTTCTCCTACACCCTAAACCCTAAACCCTAAACCAAACTCTTTAAGCACATCACAGCCGTGCGTCCCTCGCCGCCCTCCTTTCTCTTAAGCTCCTGTGAGGCAGCTACGTGGTTACGGTTTAGGGTTTAGGGTTTACACTTCTCTACAATGTGGTCCCTTTTGGCACTTATTTTTTTAGGGTTGCCACGTTCTGCCTCAAAAACGCGAGGCAAACGCCACTTTAAACTCTGAACCAACTCTAAACTCTAAACCTAAACCCTAATCCTCAGTTCCCTTTCGCAACATGGGCGCCCAAGTTGCTCTTGCCAGGCCGGAGCGGATCCGCTGCGACACAAAGGCTTAGGACTCAGGCTTAAGTTTAGGGTTTAGGGTTTAGGGTTTAGGGTTTAGGGTTTAGGGTTTAGGGTTTAGGGTTTAGGGTTTAGGGTTTAGGGTTTAGGGTTTAGGGTTTAGGGTTTAGGGGTTAGGGTTTAGGGTTTAGGGTTTAGGGTCTCGGGTTTAGGGTTTAGGGTCTCGGCTTTAGGGTTTAGGGTTTATATAGGGTTTAGGGTTTAGGGTGTAGGGTCTAGGGTTTAGGGACTTAGAGTCTGCGGACCACTCAGCTCTTCGTCTTCCTTGGCGGAATGCAACTCTAACAATAATTCTGGAGCTTTGGAAACACTCAACGCGCTTGACGTGAGGATTTTCTCGATGAGGCTCCCAGCCTCGGCGTTCTTTAAGGGAGGGGAGGGGTGGGCTGTGCGTGCACAGGGAGCAAGACTTGCGTGTGCCAAGAACTCGACGGTTGCTGCCGGCGGCGCAGCACGATACTTGGCCTCGGGCATTTGAGAGTTTTGACGAAGCGACAACGACGAGTTCGCGTGCGGAGAGCATCCGAGCGCGACACTTTGGGGGGGGGGGGGGGGTCTTGCTTGAATGCGGCCTCGGGCTGGCAATCAAGCCGCATTGAGAAGTTGGGCAGAGAAAGCAAATACAAGAAGACGACGCAAAGAAAGACTTGCGAGCGCTGAGAGATCGACAGGTGCTTCAGTCGCCAAGGCGCGCTTCTTGGCCTAGAAGAGATGTTTGAGAAGGCTGCATTCTATCTGAGAAGGTTTAGTGGACGAGACGACGCACAGAAAGAAACACTTGCGAGCGCTGAGAGCTCGACAGGTGCTTGAGGCGCCAAGGCACGCTTCCTGGCCTAAAAAATACGTTTGAAAAGGCCGAGTTCTATTTGAGAAGGTTCAATGGACGACATCGTCCGAGAGCCACACTTTTGCTGATCTTGCTCGGATGCAGCCTCGGGCTGGCGATCAAGCCGCATTGAGAAGTTCCAGGCAAAGAAAGCAAATAAAAGAAGACGACGCACGGAAAGAAAGACTTGCGAGCGCTGAGAGCTCGACAGGTGCTTGAGGCGCCAAGCGATGCTTCTTGGCCTAAAAGAGATGTTTGAGAAGGCTGCATTCTATCTGACTATCTGAGAAGGCGTAGTGGACGAGAGCGTCCGAGAGCCACACTTGCGGCGGGTCTTGCTTCAGTGCAGCCTCGGGTTGGCGATCAAGGATGCATTCAGAATGCCCATAGGCCACCGAAGACCGCTGTCCAAGGAGGCAACAGTCTCGGAAGTCTTCGAAGGTGGCTTGAGAAACTGAGTCATGCACATGTGCCATGCATGGAGGAGGCAAAACTTCTTGCTCTTCTAAACCGACCTGTTACTGGAAATAGGACAGGCACGGTCACAACTCTCTCGGAGAAACCCGGAGGTGGATGCAAAGGAGCTCTTGGTACCTGAGACCAAGCAGTGGCCAGACTTGAGAAGGTTGGTCGCGGAGCATTTGAGCCCATGACCAGCTTCGCGCCCGGAGCAACGGTGCACGGGACCTTTGCTAGTTCGTCGATTGCTGGGAGACGGCGCTACTTGGAGAACAGCGAGCAGCGACATGTCCTTGTGAGTCCGCAGCGTACGGCGGAGGATGCTTCGGAGATCGTGCTCTTTCTCTCTTTCTCTCTTTCTCTCTTTCTCTCTTTCTCTCTTTCTCTCTTTCTCTCTTTCTCTCTTTCTCTCTTTCTCTCTTTCTCTCTTTCTCTCTTTCTCTCTTTCTCTCTTTCCCTCAAAAACGCGTGCTGCCTCACCAACACCCGCGGCGAGGCAGCACTTTACATTTGCAGGGCATATGGGAAACCCGTTGAAGTATGAGGCGGCCACTATGATTTAACCCCAAAAGGGACCACAGTTCAGAAAACTGACTATCTAGTCCGTAGTGAATACATGACAGTATGTCTCAGGACTCTGAGATTCGTTAGGGTACCCTGCGCCCGGACCCTCCGTAAATCAGCTCGACCTCCCTAAAACCGTAAACCCCAAACCCAAAAAAACCCACCTCAGGTGGAGGCACACATAGCACGGGAAAACAGCGTGAAAACTGGGCGATGCGGCGGGTGGCTTCCGAGGATGACACTGGGCTTTGGGCTTAAAAGGTAAGGGTTTAGGGTTTTAGGGTTTATAGGGTTAAGGGTTTTAGGGTTTAGGGTGTAGGGTTTTGGGGTTTAGGGATTGGAGTTTGGGCTTCCTCAGCCTGAAAACTAAACTCCTAACTTCAACTTCGTGGGTGGTGACTTCTTGGGGAGTTGGACATTGGGGTCCCAGTGAACGCAGGCCACCCCCCGCGATGCAAAGACGCGCTGGAGGCTGAGTCTGTGCCGCCTCGCCAAGCACGTCGTTTAGGGTTTAGGGTTTAGGGTTTAGGGTTTAGGGTTTCGGGTTTCGGGTTTAGGGTTTAGTGCACCTTCTGGCATACAGTGTCTTCAGAAAGAGGTGCTCTGCGGGCCGTGCTCACTGGCCAGCTTCAAGTACCTGGAGCACACAGGCCCCTAAACCCTAAACCCTAAACCCTGAACCCCAAACCCTCAACCCTCAACCCTCAACCCTCAGCCCTCAACCCTCAACCCTAAACCCTAAACCCCAACCCCCAAACCCTAAACCCCAAACCCTAAACCCTAAACCCGCACTGACTTAGAACCAAGGCGTCCTGGGATCATGTGGATAGTTTCCCCCTTAACCAGTAGACAGCTCTCATCTGCCCCTTAGGGTTTAGGGTTTAGGGAGGCCTTCTGCAAAGTAGGGGGAAAAGAAAGTATTTCATGGAAGCCTGCTATGGATGGCCTACACGAAGTCCTATTGAGACACTGAAACCCTAAAACCCCGAAACCTGAACCCTATGAACCCCTGCAACCAGTAAAGCCAGTAAAGCCTATAAAGCCCTACAAACGCTATGAATCCGACAAGTCCTAAACTTCTAAACCCTATGAAGCCCCGTCAAGCCTCGAACCCGTCTAAACCCTCAACCCTAAACCCGAAACCCTAAAAAAAAACTCTAAGCTTCAACTGTTCAGAGTTGGATGCGCTTTCGTGCCCTAGTGTTCCCCTCTCCCGCCTCGAAGGGCTGTTGGGGTTTAGGGTTTTGGGGGGGGGGGGGGGGGTGGGTTGTTTTGGGGGGGCTTGGAGAGCTTTAGGATTCAGGGCTTTTGGGGGTTTAGGGGGGGGGGGGGGGGGGGGGGGGTGGTTTGGGGGGGGGGGGGGGGGGGGGGGGGGGGGGGGGGGGGGGGGTGGTTTGGGGGGGGGGGGGGGGGGGAAAATTCTGCTCAACTTTTCGGAGGTGATTTGGAAAATCAACTTGATGTGACACCCCGCAAAGGCGTTAAGTTTCGGGTCAAGCCCACAACCCCATCCCCCAAACATAAACCAACCAAAAACAACCAAAAACCAAGAAGCTTGCCTCATGCCGCCATGCCCCATGCACAAGAGGGCCTGGGGATCCATCACGAGCCGCCTGAGATCGCTTCCAGTAAGCGAATCCAAAAAGGCCTAACGCCTAGGGTTTCGGGTTTAGGGTCGCTGGGCCATGATGCTGCCCTTGAGTGGATTAAATGGTTCCAGGGCCTAAAGCCAAGAGAGCCTAAAGCCTAAACCCTAACTTGCCAATTGAGGGTTCCATCTGCGAGTTACGCTTCAAGACTTCATGGTACACAAGGCTATTCGACCTGAGGGTTTAGGGTTTAGGGGTTGAGTGGTTGACCTGAAACTCATCCCAAACCCAAGAGTAACCCAGGAATGAAAAGGGTATCCTTTTTGGTTTTAAAGGGGCTTATAAGCGAACCTAAAACCTAAAAATCAAGTGGAAATTGGGCCTGCTTTTGGTCCTAGTATCCACTCGTCTAGGACCCTAAACGCTGAACCCTCAACCCCTAAACCCCTAAACCCCTAAACCCTACACCCTAAACCCCTAAACCCCTAAACCCCTAAACCCCTAAACCCCTAAACCCCTAAACCCCTAAACCCCTAAACCCCTAAACCCCGAAACCCCTAAACCCCTAAACCCCGAAACCCCGAAACCCCGAAACCCCTAAACCCCTAAACCCCTAAATCCCTAAACTGCCAAACCCTAAACCCTAAAATCCTAAACCCTAAACCCATAAACTTATCCACTCGTCTAGGGGCCATGCCTGTTGGGCTTGGCTTCATCTTGTTCGCCTGGCAGACTGCTTGCAGCTTGAGGGTGGAGGTAGTTGGCATGTTTAGGGTTTAGGGTTTAGGGTTTATAAGGGTTTAGGGTTTAGGATTTAAGGTTTACGGTGACTATCCAACGCTTTGGGGTTTTAGGTTTGTAGGATGTATCGAGGGCTTCGGGCTCAGGGTTCCTGTGCTGGGCACGTAACACCATGAGGCCCTTGGTTGGGACCAGGAGTCTTGCCACAAGCTCAAACGAACTTGACTAACAACTTGGGATGCTCCCCCTTCTACTAGCAGTCCTTAATTGGGACTCTAGTACCCCATTATAATCCCTATTGAGGACTGTTAGCATTACTTGGAGGTTCATAGTACTTATTAACCAATTATAACTGTACATATAACCCGCTTATAAGCCCCCTAAGTGCCCTAATATGGTTATAAGTACAGTTGTCGGTACAGTTATAATTGGTTAATAAGTACCATGAACCTCCAAGTAAAGGGGAACATCCCAACGAACAACCCAAAGTCCCGCATACCCTGAGAAGGCAGGTGGAGGTAGGTGATAGACCTGCTGGACTCCCGAAACCCTCCAAATGCCCAAAAGGAGATTTCTGTCGAAAGGGTCAAAAGCCGAGGCCAAGGGTTTTAGGGTTTAGGGTTTAGGGTTTAGGACCAGGGCCTTCTTGAGCAAATCCTCCCACCACTCCTCATCATCGTCGCCTGGGTTCGAGTTCTGAAGAGCAGCTAGCAGCTAGTCGATCCTGTCGCAAAGACCGGCTACGAGCATCCCGAGATTCTACATCAGGCACAACCCCTAAACCCTGAACCAAACTACTAAGACCCTTTGCGTGTCAAACTCGGACCCCTAAGGCCCTAAGGATGTGCCCTAAGGATGTACACCCAAGGTCCAAGGTAGATGTTCAGGAGCAAAGTCCATAGAGAGCTACTTCGAAACTATGAGGCCCCTCCCTGTCATGACTCCTGTGTAGCAGCTGGCGCCAAGGATGGGGGTCGCCACTTCGTTAGGATTTCGGGCTCAGGGTTTGAGGGCTTCAAGGGTTTTGGGTTCACAAAACCTAGAAGCAAAACATTCCTAAACTTCAGCCCCCTAAACCCTAAACCCTAAACCCTAAACCCTAAACCCTAAACCCTAAACCCCGAACCCAAACTCGATCATGCCCCCACAGCACAAGCTTGGGCGCCAGGCTCACCTCCTGACCTCAGGGTGCACAGCTTGGAGCTTTGGGGCTTCAAGGTTTAAGCCGTAAACCGTAAACCCCAAGCCCTAAACCCTAAACCCTAAACCCTAAACCCTAACCCCCAAACCCTGGCACCAGGGTGGAGCCGTGCTTGGTGCAAGTTCGTCCCCCCAAACACAAAATCTCGACGGCCCACCCTAGGGTTTAGGGTTTAGGGTTTAGGGTTTAGGGTTTAGGGTTTAGGGTTGAGGGTTGAGGGTTGAGGGTTGAGGGTTTAGGGTAGAACGTCGCCATTCACTCAAGATTTAACAGGACCATGAAATTGGAAAGTACAAGCCTCAGCCTCAGTCCTGCCCTTCGCCTTCGTCATGACTGAGCACACGCTCTAATTCCCTGAAAGCCCTACTGCTGAAAGTCTTCTCAAGGTTTCGGGCTTGGGGCTCAGCACCCCCTGGGGAGGCTCACGGAGCTCAGGAGTTTCAGGGTCCTGAGCTCCAGGCGCTTAGAGTTTTCAACTCAGGGCTAGATATCAACCGACCTGAAAGCCCGAAAGCCTCATCACCCCCTTGCACGCTTGGGTAAACCCCAAACCCTAAACCCCAACCCCCAAGACCCTAAACCCTAAAACCCCACACCCTGAGCTTGGGATGTTCCCGCTTATACTAACAGTCCTTATTCGGGATTATAGTACCCCTATTATAAACCCTGTGAAGGACTGTTAGTATAAGGGGGGCATCCCAACCCTGAGGTTTAAAACCCTAAATCCCCAGGGCTAGGCCATAAAACCTGCAATCCCGACAATAGGGACCTTGATGACTTTAGTAAGGTTTTGGGGGGGTATTATAGTACAATTCTACAGGGAGCCCTATATAAGGGAGTTAGAAAAATAGCCCCAAACCCTAAACTTTAAGCCTAAAGCCCTATCAACCCTAAACCCTAAAACCCTAAAACCCCTCGGGCCCCTACTTGGAGGTTCATGGGCACTTATAACCCCAATTAAAACTGTACTTATACGCCCCCCTAAGTCCCTAAAGTAGGTCATAAGTCGACTTATAAGTGGGGTTGTAAGTACCCAGATTGGTAGCCCAGTAGCCATATTCTAATATGGGCACCCTTTTTTGGGTTGGTCACATATAAGGGAACCTTAAACCCCCAAAAAAGGGAAAAGGCTACCACTGGGCTACCAAGTTACCCGAAACCCTAAACCCTAAACCCTAAACCCTAAACCCTAAACCCTAAACCCTAAACCCCAGACCCTAAACCCTAAACTCCAAGTATGGCGAGCTGGCGAACGACCCGGACAAGGGCCAGGCCGAGCTTCCGCCGGAGCTCTTTGAGCCGCTTCTGCTTCCGCTTCTCCTGCGGTTGCGTTGTTTAGGGTTTAGGGTTTAGGGTTTAGGGTTTAGGGTTTAGGGTTTAGGGCGTAGGGTTTAGGGTTTAGGGCCGATTTTAGGGTACAGGGTTTAGGGTTTAGTGTTCAGGGCTTTCAGGGCCTAGTTTAGGGTGCAGGTTGGGATGTTCGCCCTTATACTAACAGTCTGTAATAGGGTTCTAGTAGGGGGTACTCGGGTCTTGGGTTTTGGGCTTTGGGAGGCTCCGAGGTTCTGAGGCAGCTAACCTAAACTCCGCCAGGCATGCACCCCAACAACTCACACCTCCAACCCCCGACCCCGAAAACTAAGCTTTACGAGCCCAGTAAAACATAAACCCTATATCCTCGAAAAACCCTACAGGCTGTATCTACCCTACACGTAAACTCATAACCCTGTTCAGCCCTTCGGGTTTAGGGTTTCGGGTTTAGGGTGTAATTAAACCCTATTCCGTAAACTAATCTCAAATCTTTTCACCCTTGGGGCCTTGCGCTGGCCTATTTGCCTGTTGTGGAACAACCCGCTAAGCTAAGCCTTGCGCCAACAGCCCCTGAATTCGAAACGGCCATGGGTCCTAAACTCTGAATCCACACCCCCACCCCTCTCCCCCTCTCCCTTACCCCGGCAAAACTCAACACCCAAAGTGAGCAACGCTACTGAAAGGTTTAGCCCTAAACCCTAACCCTAAGTGAGGCAACCCCAAACGCTAGCCCTGGACGGTTTCGTGTACAGGCCTTCAGCTCTTTTGCCGCGTTCTGCGCCGCCGCATTGGCGGGTGCCGGCCGAGCCTTCCAGGGCCCATCTTACGTATACTTCTTTAGGGGGGGTGGGGTTTAGGGTTTAGGGTTCAGGGTTTAGGTTTTAGGGTTTAGGGTTTCGGGTTGAGGGCTTAGGGTTTCGGGTTTGGGGTAGTTACATGGTCCCTCAATTAATATGGGCCCTTAAACGGGTACCCCATTTTAAACATACCCGTTTTATACCCTTATATACCCTATACAAATTAAGGGCCCATACATCAGAACCTTTCAAAAGGAGGTTAGGGGCCATTTCAAGGGCCCATGTAGCTGCCCTCACAATACTAATTTATTAAGGTTGTTGGGTTTTAAGGGTTCAGGGGGTTGAGAGGTGAGGGTACTCTAAATCCAGATGGGGACCGAAGGCTATGGCAGCCGAACACAAAAACATCCATATCTTACCTTTACTAACCCAAGAGTAGCCTAGGAATCAAAAGGGTACCCTTTTTGGTTTGAAGGGGCTCATAAGGGAACCGACGCCCCAAGAAAAGGGCATAAGGGCCTACTCTGGGTCGAACTCCGAAACCCGAAACCCTAAACCCGGGGTGTAGGCCTCAGGGCTTAGGGCCTCAGGTGTCGCAGCTTGGCACGAGGGTCTTGCTGGGCAACTGGAAAAACCCAGCAAGCCCTGCTCTTGAAGGTATTGCATCTCGTCTGCCTCGTTGGTAAGTTTCTGCAACCAGGCCGTGGTGAGGTTCTTATTGACACCATCCTGAGCACCCCCGAAGTGCTGAGAGCGACTCGGAGCCAAAGACTTCCACACAGTGTCTCTCCACAAGTCACGAAGCTGATGTTGCCATTGTTTTTGCAAGCGCCCTTGAAGAAAGTCCTCAACAAAGGGTTTGAAGGCCGTGAGGGTCCTTAGCTGCTTCAGTCTGTCCAGATTTGGGGCCTCAGAGGACCGAGGGAGCTGGAGCGGAAGTGCAAACTTACAAGCCCACACCCTCCAACAAACTACCATCCTTGGGGTTTAGGGTTTAGGGTTTAGGGTTTGGGGTTTGGGGTTTGGGGTTTAGGGTCAAGGGTTAGGGTAGCACCCATATTATAACAAGGGCCCTCTTTTTGGGGACGGCTACTTCATATGGTTTCAGAAAGGGACGCTGGGCCAGGGTTTGGGCTAATTCCCAGAATACTTCACCATACCCAAACCCATACCCCTTAACCTCTACACGGAGAGGTATGCCTCAGGGGTATGTTGAATATTCTTAGAGTAGTAGACAAGAGAGCGGCCGCGAATGGGCTCTTGCTGTCTTGCTGTGCTACCACCTTAGGGTTTAGGATTTAGGGCTTAGGGCTTAGGGTTTAGGGTCTAGGGTTTAGGGTTTAGGGTTTAGGGTTTAGGGTTTAGGGTTTAGGGTTTAGGGTTCTCGAACTCACCGCTGTTCATGTCCCAGCGGCCTCGTCCTCTTCTCTCGCGAAGGCGCCCTGGCGGTCTTGCTTAGGGAGTGAGGCTGCCGGGGCCCGGACCCGCCTAGGTATATAGGAGCTATGCAAGGTGTGTGTATATGCATATGTATATGTATACGTATATGTATAAGTATATGTATATGTATATGTATATGTACACACTTATATATAGAGAGAGAGGGAGGGAATATGTGGGCATAAGATTCAGGATCCCTTCTAGGGGTCCCTCCTTTTACCCCTTCAGTAAGCCCGAAACCCTAAACCAACATGACAAAGCTCCCAAGAGTCCTTCATGGGGGATTATAGTGCGGGGTACTATAATCCCTATAACGGACTCTTAGTCTAAGGGGGAACATCCCAAACTGTCGCGAAGGGTTGACTTGGCTGTAGGGCCGAGGTGGATTTGTCGGTACCAGAAGTAACCAAGGCCAAAGTAATGTGGGCTGATATTCCTAACACACGATGAGATGACCTTGTGCAATATACATACAAATAACTCACGCCCACATACATCCGGAGATGTCGAACTCCAACGACTCTCACAACACCCTCGGCTCTACTCTGAGCCTGACTTCCAACACCCTCAACCCCAAAACCAAAATCCTAAACCTCAAACAAACCTGCCCAACGCTCCCGCACCTAACTTACAGAAAGCAGCCATTCCTGGACCCTTCTTGTTATAGTAGGGGCAGCTGAGGAGGGGGGTCTACCCAAAGATCCCGAAACCCATAATCCACAGCCAACTGCGCTTTCAAAACCCTGAAGCATCCTGAAACCCTCAAAAACCCTCATCCAACTCAACAATTGAAAACGAAATCTGAACCGAACAAAAAAAAAAAAAACTAAGCCCTAAACCCTAAACCAACCCCGAACCCCAAGCCCGAAACCTCAAACCCCAAACCCTAAATCCTAAACCCCAAACCCTAAACCCTTGGCGACCTCTCTCCGCAGGACTCCGGCGTGCATCACCCAGCGCTCTGAGCAGACCTTCGTCTTGCTGCTTCCCAGTAGGGGTTTAGGGTTTAGGGCTTAGGGTCTCGCGTTTGGGGCTTTAGGATCTAGGGCTTCGGGTTGGAGGCGATATAATGTAGAGCACCTACGACTAAGAGGCGTTTAAGGTGTTCAGGTGTTCGGGGTGAAGTCAGGCTGCTTAAGTAAGGGGTGCTTATGGCGTCTTGAGGGTTCGGAGGTTTTTTTTGGTGGAGGCGTGACTTGTGTAAGGTGGTTGTTCAGGTAGAGGTTTTAGGGTTCAGGGTTTAGTTTGCTTTTTGTGTGTGTGTGTGTGTGTGTTTTTTTTTTTTTTTTGGGGGGGGGGGGGGGGTGGGTGGGTGGGTTGAAGTCGGGGAGATCCTGGCAAACAAACGCCTAAACCCCAAAACCCTAAACCCGTAAACCCTAAACCCCTAAACCCGTAACCCCTACACCCTAAACCCTAAACCTCTACACCCTAAACCCTAAACCCCAAAACCCTAAAACCCTAAAACCCTATATAAACCCCTACACCCCAAAGGAATGGTCCTTGAAGCTCAAGTTGCCGGGGCTTTGAGATTTGGGTTTGGGCCTGGAACCCTAAATCCCTTTTGGGGTTGGGACTTCAGGCTTCTAATTTTCTCACAAATTCAAAAAGGTTTAGGGTTTAAGTTTAGGGTTTTAGGGTTTTAGGGTTTTAGGGTTTAGGGGTTTAGGGGTTTAGGGGTCTAGGGTTTAGGGTTTAGGGTTTAGGGTTTAGGGTTTAGGGTTTAGGGTTTACACGAAAATCCCGCAAACCCTGAACCCCCAAACCTTGAACCGGGTCACTCTTACCCATCTCACAGGCAAGGAGCCTCGTCGACGAAGGAAGCGGTGTGTGAGATGATGAGAACCCCGCCCCCAAAGACCTGTGGGTTTGGGAGGTTTAGGGGTTTAGGGGTTCAGAAGTTTAAGGGATTTAGGGGTGTAGGGGTTTAGGGGTTTAGGGGTGTAGGGGTTTTGGGGTTTAGGGTTTAGGGGTTTAGGGGTTTAGGGGTTTAGGCTCACTATAGAGTCGCACCCTAAACCCTGAACCCTGAACTCTACTCCCTAACCCTAAACGGTTTAGGGTTTAGGGATTAGAGTTCGGGTTCAGGGTTCAGGGTGCGATGCTATAGTGGGCGGGGTGGCGCTGGTCACACCTAGTTGTAAGGAGCCTGCAGGGTCGCTTTAAAGTACTTCTGCTTACGCAAAGCAACTGGCGAATCCTGGCAGGGAGTTGCGGAATCCTAAACCCTAAGCCCTAAAGCCTAAACCCTGAACCCTAAACCTTATCCCCTAACCCGAAGTCCACCTCAACCCGTGGACTCAAAGGCCTTCAACCGACACAGCCGCGGAAAGGAACCCGAAGCTCCCAAAACCCTGAAGCCCAAAGCCTCAACCCTAAATCCTAATCCGCAAACCCTAAACCCTAAACCCGAAACCCTGAACCCTACACCCTCAACCCTAAGTCCTAAACCCTTAAACCTTAAACCCTAAACCCTAAACCCTGGCGCGGCCTTCAGGCCCGCGGCCAGGGCCGCCAAGGCGGGCTGGTCCAAGTAGTTTGTGGGCTCCTAAGCGCGAGGGCTTCTATGCTGAACTTGCTAAAGAATCTCATTCTTCTGTTTCTTAGAAATGATAATTCCCAAAACATGATTTTTTCCCCAAGTATCCCCAAGGTTTAGGGATGTAGGGACTGAGGGCTTAGGGATATGGGCTTGAGGGGTTTAGGGATTTAATGAGTCAGGCTAGGAGTTTAGGGTCCCTAAACCCTAAACCCTAAACCCTAAACCCTAAACCCTAAACCCTAAACCCTAAAAGTAGTTTGTGGGCTCCTGGGTGCAAGAGCTTCTGTTCTGAGCTTGGATCCCTAGCCCAAAAAGTTCAGTGTTTAGCTGTTTCTTCGGAATTCTCATACCCAGAAATTACATTTGTTCACAAGTAACCTTAAGGTTTAGGGATATAGGGATTGAGTGTTAGGGATTTGGGGGGCCTGAGAGTTTAGGGATGTAAGGATTTAGGTTCGGGGTTTAGGGATTTAGAGAGATTCAAAGCTTGGAGATCTGGATGGTTTTGGCAGGGAGTTAAGAAATCTCGGGCCGTATGTGTCTGGGCCTTTATTTGGCAGTTGTTTGCTTGGAAACCACCCCCACCAACACCCTCAACCCCTCCACCAACACCCTCCCCCCCCCCCCCCCCCCCCCCCCCCCCCCCCCCCCCCCCCAGCCCCCTGCCCTGTAACCGTAGCCCTCCGAATGTCCTTGCTTGCTTGTTTTTGTTTTCCCACTCCACATTTGTGCTTGTGTGTGTGTGTGTGTTCCAACAGGATCCTCTAAAGGATGCTCGAAGCATCCCAAAGCCCTGAATCCTATCAGCACCTTCACACCCGCGATGGCCCCTCTACAATCCAGTGAAGGGATATATTGTGGGGATATTAGGTACGAATTCCAAGGCGTTTCCGCCTTCAGGCTTGGGAGGTTTAGGGTTCAGAGTGCTACAGCGCTAGGGTGTTTAGGGTCCTACTTAAGTAGACTGGGAAGTTTGGGATAGTTTTTGCCATATACAAGGATTACATCTGTCGGTGATGTTCTTTCGTTCATTATGGTGGGTGCTATTAGGGTGTTGCAGCGTCGGAATTTTGGCCCAAGGATGTTTAAGGGACTTGGGGGGAGGGATTTGGGGTCACCTCAGATTGCGGACCGTCCGTAGGATCAAGGCACAGTTACACCAAAGCAGAAATGAAAAGGAAATGTACGCCCCACACACTAAGCCCTAAACCCTGACTGCCTAAACCCGAAACCTAGACCCTGGTTGATCTCTGGTTTTAGGTTTTAGGGTTTAGGATTTAATTAGGAGTTAGGGTTTCGGTTCAGGGGTTCAGCGGTTTAGGGTTTAGGGGTTTCGGGTACAGGGTTTGGGTTTTGGGACCACCGAACCCGCAAACTCGCTGATCTTGGACCATGTTTAAGTTTAGGGTCTAGGGTTCAGGGGTTTAGGGTTTCAGCCCTTCACCCTCAATGCCCCTCAGACCCCAACAACTCCCCAAAGCCTTCCATGCTAAAACCCCAAACCCTGCCCCACAGCCGTGGCCCCCCACCCCAAAGCCCTAACTTCCGGGTCCCCAGGCATCTAACACCAGCAGGTGGGGTGCCAACCAAGTCGATGCCTGGCCGCACCACAGTCTAGCAATGGCAAACAAGCAAACGAAATGATGATTTGAATAGCAGTCGGGAGAACAGCCCTCGTTCTCACAACCATCAACGACACCCTAAACCCTGAACCCCTATACGCGTACGGCAACCCTTCAGGAAATCCTCAGCCTCACTTCAAAGGGGGCAATCGCCCTGGCACTGCGGTCACGCCCTTGTATGGGTTTAGGGTTCAGGGTTCAGGGTTCAGGGTTTAGGGTTTATGTCTGTTAGTATCTCATTTAGGGATCCTACACAACCCGACCCGCTGATGAGCATGATGGGTTTAGGGCCGAGCGGGGGGGGGGGGGGGGGGGGCAGTTAGGGGGGGGGGTGTAGTGTAGAATCCCACAGTAGCAAGCTGGCATCCCTACTCCAAGAAATATTCAGCATACCCCTTGGGCACGCCCTTACAAGAAATTGACGGGGTATGGTAAGATCCTTCCTTATTCTCCTTTATAGGTTAAATGGTATGGGTTTGGGGTCTGTTGAGTTCTTCTTAGACCTACACCCCTAAACAGCAATAAGCCCTACCCTAAACCCTGCTCTCGGGACCCCGGCCGCCAGCACGGCTCGGGCGCGCTGCCCCGAGGACAGGGCGCCCAGGCGACGGAAGGAAGCCTGTGATGAGGGATGTTTAGAACTTGGAGCTTGGGTCCTACCCTGAGGGCTTTGGGTCCATGATCGGTTTAGGGTTTACCATATTAAAACGACCTGTCAGAAGATGTTAAAGCAGCATGCTCTATGATTCGAACTAAAGTATATCATCGTGTATGGGAGAGGGGCATTCAAGTGCCCGCCGCCCTCTTTAAAGAACTCTTTTGGTGCTCCGCCCTTGCGCGCTCTTGCACGGCCCTAGTCTTAAGCACGTTGCCATATTCAAGACAGTCGGCACAGCTTGTACATCAGAGACATGACCTTTGACGAGAACTTGATGAACGGTTGACGCAAACGCCTCGTCGGATGTGGATCTAGCGCGCTTGAAATATGTTCGTCAGTTGTCCTGAGTCACTTTCCTAAACCCTAAACCCTAAACCCTAAACCCTAAACCCTAAACCCTAAACCCTAAACCCTGAACCAGAAATCAGCTCCGGATGCTGACAGCAGCTGTGGATGAGGGCCTTGGAATTCAGGGTTTAGGGTTTAGGGTTTAGGGTTTAGGGTTTAGGGTTTAGGGTTTAGGGTTTAGGGTTTAGGGTTTAGGGTTTAGGGTTTAGGGTTTAGGGTTTAGGGTTGCTGACTCTCTAACCAAAAAGCCGCAACCCTGTGGGTGAGGGCCCCCTCACGTCCTTATGCCGAAGCCCCTCACACCCGTCCGTCACTTCAAGTTAAACACCATACAGCGAAAAGCCCACAACCTGAACCTTATAAAGCCCTAAACCCTAAACCCTAAACCCTAAACCTGCTAACCTTTCACAACCGGCCTCCTCCTTCGAAAGGCCGAAGCCAGCAAGATGGGCCTGTGCCAGCCGAGGTTTCGGGTGGCTTATGTAGGTTCAGGGTTTAGGGTTTAGGGTTTAGGGTTTGGGGTTTAGGGTTTGGGTTTGGGGTTAAGGGTTTAGGGTTTGGGGTTTCGGGTTTGGGGTTTAGGGCTTCGGGTTTGGGCAGTGGCTCTGGAAGAGATAGAGGCCCCCTCTGCTGGTCAATGCAAGTTTGCCAGGGGTTTAGGGTTTAGGGTTTAGGGTTTAGGGTTTAGGGTTTAGGGTTTAGGGAAGGGAAGCTGAGCCCTGAAGAAGATCGTAGCTACGCTGCTCAGGATCAGTTTAAACCACCCCACCACCCCCACAAAAAAAAACAACAAAAAAACAACTTAATTTTGGTTGCCTTTGAGGGATGTGTAAGCAAACCACTCTGTACCTGATCCCAAAGTCCGTGCAAGGGGCACCTAAAGCTCTAAACCCTAAACCCTAAACCCTGAATGACCTACTTGTTCAGCTTCCTAGGGTTTAGGGTTTAGGGTTTAGGGTTTAGGGTTTAGGGTTGAGGAATTCAAAGAAGGCCAAACTTGATTGTTCCTACTAAATAGGGAAACCCCACAAGTTTAAACGTCAACTGTTGACTCAGCAAGGAACTAAAGGCGTGGAGTTTTTTATAGAAGAAAGAACTAAGAAGTTCAAGAAGTAAACACAAATATAGATGCATAACCTGATGTATGTACAGTATTTGTTTAGTCATATTGATTCTTTAGTGGCTTGTGTGCATTTCAGGGTTGAATCGGGGGGCAAGAGTGCCTGCACAGCCGGCGTCGTGAGCGGCCGGGCGATCAAGCTGCCTTGCGCGCAGAAAGGCGGAGCTCTAGATGAGGCCGAGGTCCTAACCCCAAACCCTACCTTGCAACCTAAACCCTCACCCTGAACACCCTAAACACTCTAAACCCTGAACCCTAAACCCCACACCCTGAAATCCCAGGCCCTAGATTCGACCCTAAACCCCAAACCCCAAAACAAAACCTCAACTTAACCCTCATCACTAAGCCCATAATATGGAAAGCTTCCATCTGGGTATAGGATCTAGGGTTGAGGGTTTAGGGTTTAGCCACGCGGACATCAAATCTGAAAACCTTACTAAACCCTCGGCTTCGAACTTATGGTGCAGGGCGTTGTGTTTAGAACCACCCCCCCTTCCCCCGCCACAACCCTATGTCATGCCCAAGTGCCTTACTTTCAACGGGCCCGGAACCCTAAATCCCCACATCTTGCTTAACCCTAAACTTCCTGAACCCTATTGAAGTCGGAGGTCGAGTTCCTGAGTTTCTTGGCCCACCACAAGCTAGACCAGGGAGCAGCCTAGGAACAAAAAGGCTACCCTTTTTTGGCTTTAACTTACTGGCCCAAAACCCAAGGGAATAAAAGTTGAAACTTTCAGAATAAACTACCTTATAAGAAGCCCAAAAGTTGAAAAGTTGGGTTTTGAGCCAGTAAGTTAAGGGGCTTATAAGGGAACCCCCAACCCTAAAACCATGAAAAAAGGGCCTGCTCCCGGTCGTAGCTAGGCTGCCCAGTAACCAGGGCTTAAAAAGGGTGCCACTTTTTTGCTTAAAGGGGTTCATAAGGGAACCTAAACCCCCCCCCCCCCCCAAAAAAAAAAAAAAAAAAAAGAGAATAAGGGTACTACTTAAACCCTAAACCCTAAACCCTTAACCTTTTTAACTGATAAGGCCCTGGGATCAACTTCTTCAGGTCCACTGCTGCCCAGGCGCGCTGAGCAGCTTGGCGTTCGTCCTGTCGAAGGTTTAGCCCCTAGGTTGCCCAGTAGCCTAGGATTAAAAAGGGTGCCCCTTCTTTGCTTACAGAGGTTTATAAGGGAACCTAGACCCCCAAAAAAGGGAATAAGCGTACTACTGGGCATCCTAGGCCCTGAACCCTAAGCCCTAAGCCCTAAACCCTAGAGGCTAACATGTTTCGGGTTTACGAGGCTAGGGCTTATAGGGTTTAGGAAGTACAGGCTTTAGGCAGTTTACGGCTCTTGGAAGTTTAGGGTTTTGGATGGGCTTTAGGGTTCAGGGTTCAGGTCTTAAACCCTAAACCCTAAACCCTTAACTCTGAACTCTTAAATATGGCGCAAGCAACCCCTGGGTGTCACCTTCTTTGGGCCTTATTCTACAGTACGGGGTAGGGAAGGTGCGCGGGCGGTTTGTAGGGTTCTGCGTTGCCAGCCCCGAAAACCAACACCTGCAGCGTGAAAATCTCGGGTTTAGGGTTTAGGGTTTAGGGTTTAGGGTTTAGGGCTAATTTCCCTAAACCCTTTCTTTGTAGAGGCCTCGCGCTTCGCCATGCCAAGGCAGCCAATGGAAGCGACCTCCCCGGTCTTTTAGGGTTTAGGGTTTAGGGTTTAGGGTTTAGGGTTTGGGGTTTAGGGTTTGGGGTTTAGGGTTTGGGGTTTAGGGTTTAGGGTTTAGGGTTCAGGGTGTTAGGGTTATTTCCGAGGGTTTAAGGTTTAAGGTTTAAGGTTTAAGGTTTAGGGCTTTGGCCCTGGCACTGGGGTTTAGGGTGTAGGGTTTTGGTTTCCCGTTTAAGGATTTAGGGTGTAGGGTTGAGAGATAAGTTGGCAACTCCTAATGGTGCAGTGGGGTGTGGATTCAGGGCTTAGGGTTTAAACCCTAAACCCTAAACCCTAAACCCTAAACCCTAAACCCTAAACCCTAAACCCTAAACCCTAAACCTTAAGGGGGCTGGGGGACAAGGGTGCCGGGCCGAACGTTGTTGGCAGCTTCCTGGCAGCTCTTGCTCAAGCCGAGCTCATGGCTACGAACTAGGGTTTAGGGTTTAGGGTTTAGGGTTTAGGGTTTAGGGTTCAGGGTTTAGGGCTTGGAGTTCAGGATCTAGGGCTTGGAGTTCAGGATTTCGGGCTCAGGAGGGCTTACGGGAATGAACATTCCAACTCCATCTGAACCCAATGAGTGAAGCCCGTCAACAGCTATGTTGTCTGAGTGGTCTCGAGCTGCGGCCCCTCTACTCTTTGTAGCCCAGCAACCACATTCTAATAAGGGCACCCTTTTTTTGGTTGGTTACTTTATAAGGGAACCTAGAACCAAAGAAAGGGGGGGAAAAGGGTACCACTGGGCTACCAAGCCTACTTATTAAGGTAACTATAGCAACCTTGGCAAAACCCCATGTAGGTGCAAAGCCCTTTGGCCTGCGAGCGTGACATCCATGATGTCGTTGGCCTGAGTGGGCTTGGAGGCTTTCCCTTTTGTCTCTGTCTTTCTCTCTCTTGCTCTGCGGCTGAGGGTACAATCGTTTACGTAGGCTGAGTGAAGTTCAGGGGGTTGCTGTGACTGGCAAAAGGGGGGGGGGAACCTTCAGCTGAAAACAGGTGTCCATGAAAGCTACCATTTCAGGGACTTTGCAGACCCCAAACTTCTTTAACGACCGGTAAACCCCCGTGCGCGGTAGCTGGGCTTAAGTTGTGTAGGTCTCTTCATCCAACTCAAGTGTCATTTTCCAACTAACCCTAAACCCTAAACCCTAAACCCTAAACCCTAAACCCTAAACCCTAAACTCAAAAACCCTTGTCATTTGGGCCCCTGTCCCTTCATCCTGTTCCCCTCAACAGGGCGCCTCCCCCGCCAGCGCATCTCGTACTCGTAGCCCAACCGTCCACGCTGCCGCCTGGGCGTGAGGCAGTCCTAGGCAGCCTAACCCTAAACCCTAAACCCTAAACCCTAAATCCTAAACCCTAAACCCTAAACCCTAAACCCTAAACCCTAAATCCTAAACCCTAAAACCTAAACCCTAAACCCTAAACCCTTGCCTGTCTCTTCCAGGAGGCACACTCTCAACCCCCCAAGCCTTAAGCCCTACTTTCGTCAAGACGCCATAATCCCTAAACCCTACACCCTGGCTCTGCGTTAAACATTGCAGAAGCCTTCTCCACACCCTCAGATCGCCAAGCCTAAATATACCCTTAGAACTCTGGGTTTAAGGTTTAGGGTTTAGGGTTTACGGTTTAGGGTATGTTAGGCTACTATTTGCTTAGGAACACCAAAAATATGAAGGCAAGTCCCTTGTATAGCCCTTATAGGGAATGACATGGATGTTTTGGTGGGTTTGTTAAGCAAATAGTAGTCGAATCTTGATGAAAGGGGGCTTCTAACGACGACCTACCCTCAGTATGAGTATTCCTCTTCTTTGTCTAGGGGGGGGGGGCTTGGAGGGGCGGGGTTTCAGGGCATGAGCCATGCAACTCCTTGCTTTCAAAAATGGGGGACCGTGGGAAGGCATTTCCGCCATCCTAAACCCTAAACCCTAAACCCTTTAGGCAACTGGGGTGCCCTCTTCCGCTTGGGTCGCATCTCTGCTGCAGATGCGCGGGCCCACAACTTGACATTTCCCCCTCGCTGTTGCAAGTGAGGGGAGACGTAGTGGGTCGGATATCTACGGCAGAACAGGAAAGGACACCCTAAACCCTAAACCCTAAACCCTAAACCCTAAACCCTAAACCCTAAACCCTAAACCCATGGATGTCGGCCGGAAGATGCAGACATTGCGTCAGCTCTATCTTGATGGTGCCGAGGAAATTACCCAGGAGAGTGCGCAGCCGACAGGCCGACTCAACAGCTCAAGTTGTCCATGCTCGGCCTATGAGCTTGGGGATTCGGGTTTCAGTCAGAAAACAGCCGTTGACCCTCAAAACCCGAAACCCCAAACCCTAAACCCAGAAAACGCAAAACCCGGAGAACCGCGTGCACCCTCTTCCCTTGGGGACCCAATGAATCACCAAGATGCCTCGTTCGATGTCGCGATGTACAAAGAGGTGCGAGAGTGGCCATGTGATTAGAATGTGAATTTTGGATAGATGTGCAGGGTTTAGGGTTTAGGGTTTAGGGTTATAGGGTTTAGGGTTTAGGGTTCAGGGTTCAGGGTTCAGGGTTCAGGGTTTAGGGTTTAGGGTTTAGGGTTTAGGGTTTCGGGTTTAGGTGAAGGTTATTGGGTGGTGCTTGCTTAGGCTCCTAGTAAGCCCGACCCCACAACATTCTAAGCACGTAACAACATAACCCTACAACCTCAACCCCCTACACCCGACAACCCCCGCAAGATCGCAAAACCCGATAAACCCTAAACGAACAACCAAACCCAAACCTAAAGCACGAAACGCCTGGACCCTCCCCCCCCCCCCCCCAAAAAAAAAAAGTGAAGTTAAGCCCTCAAATCCCTAAACACCCTAAAGCGACCCTAGCCTGAAATTCACTTGAAAGCCAGAAAGGAACTCTTAGTAGCTACATGGTCCCTTCATCTGGTCTCTTAACAGGGGAGCCTTTATACAACCCAAGGGCCCATACATCAAAATGCGTTAAAGAAGGCATGGGGCCATATGAAGGGACCATGTCAGCAACCCTAAACCCTAAACCCTAAAAACCCTAAACACCCTGCACCCTGAGCCCTAAACCCGACACCCTCAAAACTCCAGGGGCTAGCGCCGGTCCACGATGACCTCTGGCTCAAGAGCCTGCCACGAGCATCTTGGGGTGGTTTTGGGGTTTTTGGGGGTTTAGGGCTTAGGGTTCTTGAGGGTTTCTGAGAGTTTTGGGTTTGGGGATTAAGGGTATTGGGGTTTCTGAAAGTGTGCTCAAAGCGCTTCTAGTGCTCTAACTTCAGGTTAAGGATTGTTAGGTTCTCTATTCTTGTTTGGGGGTGGGGGGTGGGGGGGGTGGGGGGGTGGGGGGGGGGGAGGGTTTTGAGGTTTGGACTTTGAGGGATTTTGGAGTTTGGGGGCAAACTTAGGGTTTTGTGGGTTCGTTGATCCGCCGACCCTGGCGGCGTGTTGGGTGGGTTTGCGGAGGTGAAACCTCTTTGACCCCCCCCACCCCCCCTTCCCTACTCCCCTACCCCCTCCCCCGCTCCAGGTTGACCCCTACCTAAACCCTAACCGCAAACCCAAAACTTAAATTTGTTCTCCTGCGGGCTCGACGGCTTGAGCCGGAGGCTCTTAAATGCTCAGGGTTTTTGGGTCTCAAGGCGCTTCAGGGGTTTTTGTGAGGGCTCCTGAGGCTTGGGGTTTGAGGGTTTCTGAGCTTCCTTTCAGGGCTTTTCTTTGACCTTACCCTGAACCCTAAACCCTGAACCCTAAACCCTAAACCCTAAACTCCAATAACCCTAGTGTCACTGGAGTCTTGGGGCTTAGGGTGTTTGAGGTTCAGGGTCTTCGGGTTTACGCCCTGAGAGAGGGATCTCAGTATAATTTACGGCAGGTCCCCTAATTGCGGGGTAAGCAAACCCCAAACCCTCAACCCTAAACCCAAGCTCACTGGCTAGGGCGAAAGGGGGTTCATGGAGGCTTTGCACCTTGCTTAGGATTTGGAGCTTTACTTGGAGGTTCATGGTACATTAAGCAATTATAGCTGTACTTATAACCCCATTATGGCACTTAGCGGGGCTTATAAGTGGGTTATAAGTACAGATTCCAGAGATAATTGGTTACTAAGCACCATGTAGGGTTTTCGGGTGTTGTGTTGTAGGAGCTGGGAGAGGGCCTTTAGGGCTTAGGGCTCAAAAGGTGGAGGAACCCTAACCCCCAAACCCCAAACCCCAAGCCCTAAACCCTAAACCCTAAACCCTAAACGCCAAACCCTAACGCCAAACCCTAAACCCTAAACCTTAAACCTTAAACCGCTCAAGAGCCTGGGGGTGGTCTGACGCACAAGGTACCAGCTGGCCCTCTACCAGACGAAACCTGGCTGACCAAAGCCATAGGATGCCCCAACAACCCTCAGCTTTTGCTATCGGGTTCGGGGGTTTGGGGTTTAGGGTTTGGGGTTTAGGGTTTGGGGTTTGGGGTTTAGGGTTAGGGTTTGGGGTTCAGGGTTTGGGGTTTAGGGTTTGGGGTTGAGGGTTTGGGGTTTAGGGCCCCAGGTGAAGTAGGACCTATGTACTGGGAACGAACATTCACGCCACGAATACAGGGCTCCCCTCTCGGGCAGGGTTTGGGCACCCTGTTGAAACAAGGGTTGGCAGAAGCAGGTTGTCGTCTTTAGGGCTTCGGTAATTTGGGTTGTTTTGTTTTGGGGACTTGCCCCTGAACCGCCCCCAAAGAGGGTAGTGTATCCGTTCCGTGCTTGACGGGGTTTACGACTCCTATACAGTTACCACTGGGGATCCTCGTCCTCGTTCGGAGTATGGGGGGTGAACATCTGAACCTAGGTGGCATCGAGGTTCGGCTTGGGGATCAGGGCTTAGGACACTTGACCGTCAAGGCTGCCAAGGAGCCAACAATCTAAGGTATGAAGATATAATACTGGGGGCTTCTGGGGCCACAGGCCAGAATCACTTAAGACCTGTTCTTTTTGAGGAGAGAGCTTTTTCGGGCCAACCCTAAACCCTATAAACCCTAAACCGAAGCCCTAAACCCTAAACCCTAACCCTAAACCCTAAACCCTAAACCCTAACCCCCAGTGCCAGGGCCAAAGCCCCTTGATCTCCGCGTCCGCCCTCTTGTCCTCCTCCTGGACTTGCCGGGCTATGTTTAGAATTTAGGGGAAAATCGGTGTTCGATTTAGGGGTTAGGGGTTTAATTTTTCATACCGAACTGTGTATGTAACCTAGAAATAATGAGGGCTCCCTTTTTCATGTATAGGCAGCCTGGAATTCTCCCTACGAAGGAAAACAGGGCTTAGTCGGAGCGCTGGGAAAGATGTACCCTAAAAACCCTAAAACCTCGGCTTAGGGTGCACGTGTCTTGATGGCCAAGCGGATTTGTCGCAGATCCCTCTGAGAATATATGAAAGGGTGCCATTGCCGTTAGAAGATTGGGTACATGGGGTTTACGAAAACAGGGGGGGCCCTAAAATAGACCCCAAACAGTAGGATCCCGCTATAGTAAAGACCCCAATAAGGTACCCCTAATATCGTAAACCCCCCATATAGGGTTTCGGTTTCGGGTTTAGGGTTTAGGGGGTTGAGAAGTGTAATCTTAACCCGCTGGATCGCCGGACGCTGGGATCCAGGGTCGGGGCTCGGCTGAGGGTTTAGGGTTTAGGGTTTAGGGTGTAGGGTGTAGGGTTTAGGGTTTAGGGTTTAGGGTTTAGGGTTTAGGGTTTAGGGTTTAGGGTTTAGGGTTTAGGGGTTCAGGGTCCTCCTCCGCACGATTGGCAAGTGCCTGGAGGCGATGCGCGAAATGTGAAGATTGACTTAGGGTTTAGGGTTTAGGGTTTAGGGTTTAGGGTTTAGGGTTCAGGGTTCAGGGCTTAGGGCTTCGGGCTTAGGGTTTACTACAGCTAGTGGGGTTTAGTGCTTTCGGTAACTATAGCTGGTAGGGTGGAGGGAACACCTTACAGGCTCTATGTTCTCGAAACTAGGGTGCCTTTTTGGTCCCTTTGTGGAATATGGCACCCAATGGGAAGGACCCCCGAACGGACCCTAATTTAGACAAGCACTCAGGTTCTGGATCGGGGAATCCGGTATTTGGTCGAGACTTTCCTCCCGTGAAAGGGCTATGATTAAAATATATGTTGGTGGAGGTAAGGTACCCAATTTCCTAATTCAGTATGAAGAACTTGTAAGTCTAGGAAACGCCCAGCATCCTGGATCCTAAACAAATGGCACGGTTCAATGTTTTGCTTGGCTCTTACACCCCCATTACTACCCTCCTAGGGCTTAAAGTTTGGGTTTCGGGTTTGACAACCATGTTACAATGAACTTCCTAACTCCAAAGCCCCCTTAAGAAACGCTCCTCACACACACACACACACACACACAGGGTTGCGATGGGAAGCCACTGGGGTTCTATAGCACTCTGTACATTAAAGCTTGAACCCCAAGCTCTTCACCCTAAACACGAAGCCCTCAACTCTCCACCCTGAACCCGAATTCCAAACTCTCTGCCCTAAGCACGAAACGCTAAACTCTCCGCCGTGAATCCTCAGCCCAATTTCCAAGCCCAAGCCCAGAATTCAAGCCCAAAGCCCGCGGAGCCCTAAAACCCGAAACTTTCGACCTTCGACCATGTGCTCGAAACCCTACCTGTCTAGGGTTTAGGGTTTAGGGACCCCCGCTCCCCTCAAAGAAGAACAAAGGCGGCTTCCACAGGTTAGGTTTTAGGGTATATAACCCTAAACCCCAAACCCCAAACATAACCCAAACCTTCACCGGCCACAAAAGGACCCTAATTCCCCAATTCCAACGCAGGGAGAGTGGGCAATAGGGACCCAGGTAGAACCGAAACCCGAAGACGCCCCCTGGGGGATCTAGGTTGAGTGTTTCGGGTTTTGGGGGGTAAGGGCTCCCTGTTGAAAATCTGAGGGCCAACAGACACTCCCAAAATTCCAGGAAATGGTTTAGGGTATGGGGCCTAGGTTTTGCGGATTTGGGGCTTTGTGGGTTTAAGCACTTAGGCTTCAACGCCAGACGAGGGGATGGGACCCTCTGAAAAATGTTCAATATAGGGCCCCTTCTAGAACCCATATAAGGAACATCTACAAACATCGAACACATAGGGTTCCGGGTTTTAGGGTTTATCCGAAAGTTCATCTGCGTGTGAGGGCTCACCCTGCGACTCCTTCTGCAAGGCCTCGCGGTCTTCGTTGCCCTGGAAACGCCAGAGAATGTACCTGCCACTGCACCCTAGACCGTAGACCCTAGACCCCAAACCCTAAGCTCCAAATCCCATGAGCAGGGATGCAAACGAATCCGAAACAACCAGAAGACGTCCCATGCGCACTCGGTCGCAGTGAGCTCCAGGTGTTCCTATCATGGGTTTAGGGAGCGTTGCTAGGTTGGCCTTTGGGGTTTTTTACATTGTCCTTGCTTGTGTTTGCAAAGGGACCCTATATGGGGCTTTACGATAATATAGGGACCCCAAATATGGACCCCCAAAAAGTAGGATCCCCTTATCATAGGACGCCCAAAAGGTACCCCAATAGCGTAAACCCCCATATAATCCGAGGGAAGGTTGCGCCGAAATGAGGGCGGTGGAGACACGACATGTCAGACTTGTTTTCAGGGTTTCTTCGACCTAAACCCCAAAACCGTCAATCTCGAAAGGGTTTTAGGGTTGAGGCCCTAAACCCAAAAAAACCCAAACCCCAAACCCCAAACCCCAAACCCTAAACCCTAAACCCTAAACCCTACACCCTACACCCTACACAAACCCCCACGGAACCCTGAACCCGAAACCCTAAACCCCTCAAGACATCCCATGAACTCTCCTCCAAATGATGGAAGGCGTGCTGCGCCACGTAGGCCATTCGCAAATTCCTGAGGCGCGGACACGACACCACCTCCCCACAACGTCGCTACAGCCACGGTGAAACCCCCAAGCCCCAGAAAAACTCCAGGTTCAAGGTTTAGGGAACAGGGCCTAAAGGGCCAAAAACCCTAAACCCTAAACCCTAAAACACTTACTTCTCCAATAGCCAAGGGGAAAAAAGGTTAAACTTTATTATTCCTACTAAATAAGGAAACCCAAAAAGTTTAAAGTTCAGCTGTTGGAGAAGTAAGAACAAGCTGGCACCCCGCGGAACTCCGGCGCAGGGCCCCGACTTTTAGGGGAGAGGGGTTGGAGTGAAGGACTTCGACCCCAACCCTGCCCGTCCACCCAGACCCCGGGGAGGATCCAAAACCTTGAAGGTCCATACAAGTTACCCAGTAGAACATGGTAATAAGTTGGGGGGCTCTGACTTCAAACGCAGGAGCCTACATGGTTGCCAAGGTTATCAACTCATAATTCCTATCTCGCAGCACACGCTTTTCCCAAGATACCATGCAAATTGCACAAGCCCCGAGCCCCTAGAGGTAGATTCAAAAACTATTCGTAGATTAAATAGGCCCCGAAACACCAATGAAGCCCCCTAACCCTGGACATTACAACGCTAGACCCTCGTACGGGGGTTTACGAAAGTAGGGACCTCCAATATAGATCCCCAAATAGCAGGATCCCCCTATCAAGGTACCCCTAATTTCGGAAACCTCCGTATGACGAAAAAAGCCCATACAGGAAACTCTGCTGGATCGAGACGCGGATGGCGATAGGCGGTTCCGCGATCCGGCGCCAACTCTCCAACGACCTCGCAGCCACCCCCGAAGGAAGTCCTGAGACCCATGAAAATATGAACTCGAAGGCCGAAAGCCTTTAAACCCCAAGCCCTAAACCCTAAGCCCTAAGCCCTAAACCCTAAACCCTAAACCCAACGGCTAGCTCCGACACTTCGGTGGTGGAGGTGCGAAAAATTAGGGGTTTGTGCTCCTCCCTTAAAGTTTTCGACATGAACGGGGCCTTAGGGTTTGGGGTTAAGGGCTTAGTAGCCTTGATGAGGCTACACGAACTGCAATTTAGGAGGCTGTTTAGGGTTTACGATTTGCAGTTTAGGGGCCCTAAACCCTAAACCCTAAACCCTAAACCCTATACCACAACATGGGCCCGCGCCAGCCCCGCCACAGTGGACTTGCCAGCACCATTGGGGCCCATGATGGCGACCCGGCTCCTGCAAGGCGGCTGCAAACCCTACATGGGCTTAGGATTGATAAGGTTTAGGGTTTATAGGGGTTATAGGGGTTTAAGGGGTTTATAGGGTTTATAGGGTTTATAGGGTTTATAGGGTTTATAGGGTTTAGGGGTATAGGGTTTCTGGTTTAGGGTTTAGGGTTTATGGGGGTTCAGGGTTTTGGGGTTCTCGGTTGAAGATTAACTCTAGGGTATAGGGTTTCGGGGTCCCGAGAGGTGGGAGTCCCTGTGATTGGGCCTTGAAGCGCATCCAATACAACTTGCTAGCTCTTACAGCCCAAGCATGCCTGAACCTACTCGATCCCTCACAGGGTCTTGTAATGGAATACATGGTACCAGATTCCCTGTTTTTTTCGACTAACAAACAGCAGGTACACCTTAAACCCTGATCCCAAGCAGCCTGCCAGCAACCCTAAACCCTAAACCCTAAACCCTAAACCCTAAACCCTAAACCCTAAACCCTAAACCCTAAACCCTAACCCCAAACCCTAAACAGTAGACTGCGATGCAAGGAGAAGTCGAGGACTGTACAGGACTGGATGGTTTTGGATACGCTCTTAATCCCTGCCCCCCTAATGTTAAGCCCCATCCCCGCCCCCCCGTCCCCCCCTCCCCCCTAATGATGTTAAAATACTTAGGGTTTAGGGTTTAGGGATCCGATGCAATTCCAATTCTAGTGACATTTTGATCATGTAAAAATACTTAGGGTTTAGGGTTTAGGGATCCGATGCAACTCCAATTCTAGTGACATTTTGGTATATGAGGGTATTTAATACTAAGGGGTGGGAGGGGGCAGGGTCTGGTGTAATACCCTAAACCCTAAACCCTAAACCCTAAACCCTAAACCCTCAACCCTAAACCCTAAACCTAAACCCTAAACCCTAAACCCTAAACCCTTAGGGGGGAGGTACTTGTAGGGCTTTATGAACTCTAGGCTGCACTGTAACCAAGGCTTAAAAAGGGTGCCTTTTTTTTGCTTAAAGGGGTTTATAAGGGAACCTAAACCCCCCCAAAAGGGAATAAGGGTACTACTGGGCATCCTAGAGCTTGAGAGGCCAGGGATAGGGTTTAGGGTTTAGGGTTTAGGGATATAGGGATGTGCGGGTTTTTAATCACAGCGGACGTCTCCTGAGCGAACACTCCACGGTGGCGCCCTTGACGGCGGGGACGTGGCTCTCGGGGTAGGTGTAGGAGACGTCCTGCGCTTATAGGGTCCTAAACCCTAAACCCTAAACCCTAAACCCTAAACCCTAAACCCTAAACCCTAAACCCTAAACCCTAAACCCTAAACCTTAAGGGAAGGGGGGACCTCATGGCGGTACGTGCCTAACGAACCCTAGGGAAGCTTAGGGAGCCTTTCGGAGTAGTGGGGAGTATTAGGAAACCCTGGGTCACATACCCCCCTTGAACCCCCCTCCCTTAAGAACCCTACAACGTGCAGCGGAGGCTCCGTGAAAGTCCTAGAACCCCAAAAGCCCCGAACCCTGGAACACCAAGACGTTGAACCTAAAGCCCCAAAAACAAACACCCAAAAGCCCTAAACCCTAAAACCCAAACCCTCAATCCTAAACCCCTAAGTCCTCGAAGCCCAGAACCCTAAAATCCTACGGGCCAAAAGCCCAAAAGCCCAAAAGCCCAAAACCCCGAGGCCCAGAAGCACAGAAACCCGAAAACCGAATGCCCCAAGAAAAGCCCCAAAGCCCCGAAGGCAGAAACCCTAAACACTAATCTCTGCACCCTGAAGCCTATAAAGCCTAAAACCCTAAGCCCTACGCCCCAAGCCCTAAACCCTAAACCCTAAAACCCTGCGCCCTAGCACTCTATCCCTCTGCCCCCAGCAGCTTGGCCTCTAAGTTCAGGAAGCGCTTCCCCTTGGAGCGCACTCCTTCGAGGGATCCGGGCCTCGGCAGGAGGGATGCACCTTTAGGGGTAGGAGTTTTTAGGGGAGTTTAGGCATCTTGGACGGGGGGCGGGGAGCGCTGTGGTATTCAGGCATGCTGAACATCCGGAGTTCATTCCCTCAAGGCCCCCCTTGACCCTCGACCCTGCACCCTACTTGAAGCTATAAGGGTTTAGGGTTTTAGGGCTTCGGATTGAGGATTAGGGTTTAGGGTACATGGGTGTATGGAAACCTCTACGGCCTCTACCGTAGGGGCATACACCCTGTAAGCCCTCAAGAGCCACAACCGCTTGCACCCTAAACCCTAAACCCTAACACATGAATCCCTTAACCCTAAATCCTAAACCCTAAATCCCAAACCAAAAACCCCAAACCCTAAACCCTAAACCCCAAACCCTAAACCCTAAACTTCCCTAAACCCTAAACCCTAAACCCCAAACCCTAAAGCAGCATGCCGGGAGTCGGGGCAAGGCTGGTTCCGCTTCGATTCCGGAATTGTGCCACCAATTCCCCCGATTCCGATGAGTTTTTGGCGCATTTCCGAAAATAGAAGCCACAAACCCTATGGGTTTCAGTCTGAACGGCTGCCATGATTCCTTCGGCCTCGGTCCACGCCTGAATTACGCCCCCAAAGAGCTTCAGCAATTTCAGCCTTACCCTTAGGGTTTAGGGTTTAGGGTTTAGGGTTTAGGGTTTAGGGTTTAGGGTTTAGGGTTTCGGGTTTCGGGTTTAGGGTTTAGGGTTTAGGGTTTAGCTCCTAAATCGCCCGAAGTAGGTGCTAGGAGCAGACTTTAGACCCCAGTGTAGGTGTTAATCATATACTTGGAGCCCTAGGGTTATCTTCGTTGCTGAGTTCATAAGCCCCCCCCCCCCCCCCCCTTCGCCAAAAAAAAAAAGGTGCGCTTTCAGTTCGAAGGGGGGATTTTTCGTATCCCACAAAAGTGTCAAGTGTACTTTCAGCTACTAAGTTCTTGCGCAAGACCCCAACCCCAAACCTTAAACTCTAAACCCTAAACCCTAAACCCTAGACCCATGAACCCTAAACCCTAAACCCTAAACCCTAAAAGCAGTCAACACTAAACCCCAAAACTTTCCTGAGATGACGGCTCTGGAAGAACGAAGGCCGGCAGCGGCCCGGTCTCCTCAACGGCTTAGGTTTTTTTGTTTTTAGGGTTTAAGGTTTAGGGTTTAGGGTTTAGGGTTCATGGGTCTAGGGTCTAGGGTTTAGGGCTGAAACGCGAGGTCTTGGGGTCGAGGGTTTGGGGGGGACCCCTGTGTCTCCGTCCATCACAAACAGCCTGGTTTCGGCTAAGGGCGGAGGGGGCTCGGAGTTCGGGGCTATAGGGTTTTAGGGTTTTAGGGGTTTTAGGGGTTTTAGGGCTTTAGGGTTTTAGGGTTTTAGGGGTTTTAGGGGTTTTAGGGCTTTAGGGTTTTAGGGGTTTTAGGGTTCGGGGTTGAGTGTTCTTTTGGATCAACCCCTTCGAGCTGGCCGACATGACATGCCGCCGGGCTGTTCTAGACGGGTGCTTCTACGATGGACTATCCGATAAATCTATCCCTCAACTCCGAGACCATGCTAGCACCTCCAAACCCTCAAAGGCACCCTAAACCCTAAACCCTAAACCCTAAACCCTAAACCCTAAACCCTTGAACTTGGGGTTCTAGCGCAAAAACACTCAACTCCCACATGAGCCTCCAAGTGGGGTCCTCAATGGAATGGGTTCAAGGGGGGAGGGAGGGAGGTAGCTCGAGAAGCCTCTGGTGCGTGTCTGTTTCTTCACTGGCCCTTTGTTTCCTCCTCACCCAGAAGCAGGACATAGCTAACTAGGTTCTGGTTACGGAACTAAGGCGAAATTACCACAATCAGGGCACCATACTTTAAAAGCATAACCCTGAATGGTAAATTAACCTAAGTTCCGTCGCAAAACCCCTAAACCCTAAATCAACCCTAAACCCTGAACCGCAGAAGCACTGGCCGTGAAAGGGGCCTCTATCTTGGATCCCAGTTGGGCATTGGGCACGCGCTCCTGTGCACAAGAGAGACCAGGGCGAAAGTTGCCCCGCATTAAAGATTTAGTGTTCGGGTTTGGGGTTGATCGGGTTTTGGGTTTAGGGTTTAAGGCTTAGGGCTTAGTATTCTGGTTTGGGGTTTATGGGGTAGATTTTGGGGTGCCTACGTAAACTTAAACCGTACACCCTATACCCTAAACCCCAAACCCGAAACCAGTTGAGACGTGGGTTGCCTTAGCATTTAGGGCTGTAGAGCTGCGGGGTGGTACCCTGAACCTGGTACTTGATTTCGGGTTTAGGGTTCATGGTTTAGAGCTTCAGTTTAGGTTTTAGGGTTTCGGTTGAGGGTTCAGGGTTGAGTGGTGAGAGTTCAGGGTCGGAGGCATCAAACACTCGACTTGTACGGCTCCATAGAGGGAGTGCTCTACACTCGTGGTCTTATTGGGGGCCAGCAATGTACTTCACTTCGGGTCGAGGGCCTTTAGGCTTTCTAGCTAGTAGGGTTTGGGGTTTAGGGTTTAGGGTTTAGGGGTTTAGGGTTTAGGGTTTAGGGTTTAGGGTTTAGGGTTTAGGGTTTAGGGTTTAGGGTTTAGGGAGTCGAAGTTAACGCCTTGCCCACCCCCCCCGTCCAAGAAGGTTGAGAAGTTGCCGCGGTAGTTGCGGAGCTTGCTGCCTTCCACCTGTTCTGGGGTCTGGGTGTTTTGGGGCTTCCCTGAGAGACCCAAAGCTTCGATGAACTTGGAACTCTAGCAAAAATTAAAGTTTGGCTGTTTCTCATGAATTTTCTGGACTGCATCTATGCTTGAACTCACATTCTATGGGCTCAATTGGCGAAGCTCTTGGTTACACATTCCAAACCCTAAGCGGGTTTAAGGGTTTTAGGCTAAGGGTTTCTACCTGTGATGTGGAAGCCACTTCGGCTTGCTCGGGTTTGCCTAGGCCCTAGGAAGAGAGCGAAGGGCACCCTTTTGTCTCTAAAGGCGTTAACAAGGGAACCCCGAAACCCTAAACTCTACAGGCAATACAAGGGTCACTCCAGGTCCTCGAACCCTAACAGGTCTTAGGGTAGTTCCATGGTCCCTTAGTATGGGCCCTGAAAAGGGGGCCCCTTATATACCGCTTACGTGCCATGAAACTACCCTCAGAAAACTCCTACACTCTGAGCCCGAAAGGGAAGAATCATCTAGCCTTCGGGCATAGGGTTCCGAAACCCCTGTGAAATCAAGGAGATTGGGGATGTCACTGGTGGTTTGAGGTGTTTCAGGTTTAGGGTTTAGGGTTTAGGGTTTAGGGCTTAGGGTTTAGGGTTTAGGGTTTAGGGTGCGCTCGCGGGTTGGTGCTTCTAGGGTCCCCCTTGCCACTGAGTCCCCGGCGTGGAGGATGTGGGTGCACACCCGATCCAGAAAAGGAGCCTGGGAAGTGAAGGGCCCTCTACCTGGTTTAGGGTTTAGGGTTTAGGGTTTAGGGTTTAGGGTTTAGGGTTTAGGGTTTAGGGTTTAGGGTGTGGGCACTTCCCTAAATAGAGGTACCCCTTCTACACCCCAAATAGAGTAGAATCCCCTTCAAGGGAACCCCAAAAAGGCTACCCCTGTTTTTCGGAAACCCCCATTTTGGGGGGTGGTAGAAGACTCGTAGAAACTCAAGATTCCGGGCTGACCTGCACCCTATAGAAATACCCTGCACGAAGATACACTCAGGGCCTTTGTTAAAGGGGCACTTGAGGGGGGTTCCAGGGAGGGCTTAGGATGGAGGAATTGAGGGATGGAGGGATTAAGGGCTCCGTGCCCGGGGTTTGAGGGTTTAGGATTCAGGCGGGGCTTCTGGTTAAAGGTTCAGGCTCTTAGGGCTTAAAGAGGTGTAGGGTTCAGCGCTGCTTCTCTCGCGACCTGGTTCGAAACAAGGGTCCCATCGTAGGTGATTTCTGTAGAAACACGCCACGGCAGAACACCCTAAACCCTGAACCCAGAGCCCTCAACCCTCCAGGGCATCCCTAAAGGGGTTTGAAACACGGCTGCCCATTAACCAAGGCTTAAAAAGGGTGCCCTTTTTTGCTTAAAGGGGTTTATAAGGGAACCCAAACCCCCAAAAAGGGAATAAGGGTACTACTGGGCATCCTAGGAAACACGGCAGTATGCAGAGTAGGGTTTAGGGTCTATAGGGATTTAGAGGCCTTGTCGTCACCTTCGAGCTCCAGAATTCCTGAATTGGGAGCTTCGGGCAGCTCAGGGCTTGGGATCTAATGGGAATCTAAACCTAAACCCTAAACCCTAAACCGGGTTCGGGGCTCTGGAATGCGCAGCCTCAGTTGTTTAGCGTCCAGGGTCCGACATGGAGCTAAGCAGACTGCATTTGCTGGGATGCCCCGCGTCGTGTGAGACCACCAGCACGGTGATCGATCTGTCAGGATCATCCTCTCAAAGTGAGGATGCATGAAAACCCCCTATCCCGGAAGATATCCCTGAATTACGTTATCGTTCGTTTTAACTCTTTTCGTTTTCTCGGGTTTTAGTACTATTCCACCAAAACATATCCGAAACGGGTTCTACGGGTTTTAGGGTTTAAGGTCCCTAGAACCAGAAAGCCCTCACGCCGAGTAGACCCGAATCTGAGCCCGAGGCGATCCCTGCTTCGGCAAGGCGTTGAAGGTTCAGCATTAAGTATCTAGGCTGCCCAGTAACCAAGGCTTAACAAGGGTGCCCGTTTTTTGCTTAAAGGGGTTTCTAAGGGAACCTAAACCCCGCAAAAAAGGGAATATACTACTGGGCATCCTAGGTATGGGGCGGAGGGATTCGTGAGCCGGATTCCCTTAAGCGGGTGGGTGCACTGCAACATGTCTCTGGTTTCACTTGGCGTCGCTGTCAGAGCTGCCGCTGCTGCTAGTGCTGCTGCTGCTGCTGCTGGAGGACGAAGAGGAGCCGCATGGATCAATTTGATCTTGCACGGCGCGAGACTTTCGGCGCCTGCGACCACGGGCCTTGGAAACACGGCGAGGCTTTGCCTCGACACGTTCTGAAGCCACTAAGTGGCTTCAGAGGGTGGGAATTCAGTCAGGGGAGACAATTTTATGCGACCTAGCTGGAAAACCTACTCACCCACAAACCCATCTAAACCCTAAACCCTCCACAGACAGGGTTCCACCCTACACCCTCAACCCTGTAAACCCTAAACCCTAGACCCTAGACCCTAAACCCTAACCCTAAACCTCGGAAACCAGTAATCCCAGGTCGCTATGGGACACGGGCAGGCCGGCACAATCCAACCGGCAACTTTCCTAGATCCAAGTCTCGGATGGCCCGTCCGGGAGAAACATTCCTGAATATGATCCTCTTAGGCCCAAAAGGTTTAGGGTTTAGGGTTTAGGGTTCAGTCCTGAATGTGATCCTCTTAAGCCCAACAAGGGAACATATGGAGTGTCCCAAGGGCCTACCGCGAAGAGTAGCCTGGGAACTTAAAAAGGTGCCCTTTTTGATATTTAGAAGGGCTTCTCGAAGGAACCGAAGCCCCTGTTTGGAGAGATGACCATATAGTCAGGTGCAACCTAGGAATGAAAAGGGGTACCCTTGTCTGGGTTTTAAAGGGCATCTAAATGGACACAAAAGCCTTCGAAGGGTCTCCTAGGAATGAAAAAGGTACCTTTTCGTTGGCTCGTGATCCCTAAACTCCCAAACCTCCCAAACCTCCCCCCCCCCACCTGCAGTGTGTGGATGTAGTCCACAAGCCAATCGATGTGCCTTGGGCTCACAGGGAGTGGCCCCTTGACCTAGACCCAAGAGTTGCTGTAACTAGGAAGAAAGAAAGGAGGGGTACCCCTTTTGGTTTTAAAGCGGCTTGTAAGGGAACCTCCAAACCCTAAAAAAGGGACTAAGGGCCTACTCTCGGAGGACTTCTTTCCTGAGACACGGTATGCTATTAACCGAGCCAAACCTAATGCCATAAAACCCTGGTAAATCTGCTTCCCACCCCAAACCCGGCAACAGGATTAAACAAAAGAAAACATGAGCCTGTTTTGTCTAACCCTACACTGCACCCGCACACTTCCTCATCTAAACTCTAAACGTTGAACTCCTACCGTTTAAGCCCTGCCCCAGCAAAACTCTTGTAGCCCCAAATCCTAAAGCGCTGAAAATCTGCCTATGGCCCCCTACCCTATCAACCTGCTCAGAATATCTATATATGTATATGCCTAACAGACTCTAAACCCTAGTAAGGCTTCGGGACACCAAAAAAATCGATTCATCCTCAGAGCCGTAATTGAATAGAGTTTTGGGGGTCATTATAGTATCATTATAAAGGGACCATAAGGGAATACTACTCGTAGTACTTCCGACCCCTACAGGAGGGACCCCAGGACCGAAACCCTGTTTAGGGTTTAGGGTTTGGGGTTTAGGGTTTAGGGTTTAGGATTTAGGGTTTAGGGTCTTAGCAGCCAGATTGGGCTGAGGACTACGCCCGGTATCCAAATGCCCTGTCGGCTCGTCCAGCAGGACCACGTGCGCAGACTGGGCGTCTTAATAAGCTTTAAGCTTTAGGGTTTAAGGGTGTAAGGGTTTAAGGGTTTAAGGGTTCAAGGGTTTAAGGGTTTAAGGGTTTAGGGGTTTAGGGGTTTAAGGGTTTAGGGGTTTAAGGGTCTAAGGGCTTAGGAGCCACACAGTCCGCCCACCTAATCGCTCGCGCGCCCGGGGTCCCACCGGTTTCTGAGCCAAGTCGGTTTAGGGTTTCGGGTTCGGGCCTTACGGTTTAGGGTTCGGGTTTACGGTTTAGGGTTGAGGGTTGAGGGTTTAGGGCATATAGGGCTTATAGGGCTTAGGACTTAGGGCTTAGGGTTTAGGGTTTAGGGTTTCGGGTCAAGGAATCCCCCGGCCCCAAGACATGTTTCTTTAGCCATAAAGTCCTACATCGCCACTGCAGAAAGCTGGTGTTAGCGCACGGAAAGATGCGCTTGCTTGCTGCCTTTGAAAACGACTCTTTGGCCTACGCGCTTATATACAAACCCCAAAATGCACCCTTAAAAAAATAGTTTACTTCGAGAATCCCCGTCCTGCAGGCAAAGAATATGCGAGCTCACGCTGGGGTTGGGCACGCTTGGGGATTCTCCGGGGATGCTACACCCTAAGCCCTAAACCCCAAACAGTCAGAGGTTTAGGGTTTAGGGTTTAGGGTTTAGGGTTTAGGGTTTAGGGTTTAGGGTTTAGGGGTTGGGCACTCCAGGCATTGTGTGGGGACACTCTTGGGGTTGGGCACCTCTGGGGTTGGGCATTCCTGGGGTGTGGCACCCCAACAACGCGGTTTAGGGTCCAGGGTTTAGGGCCGGTATGTTGGAGATGGGCTGCACCTTTTCCACCCAAACAAACCTAAACCGTAAACCCTAAACCCTAAACTCTAAACCCTAAACCCTAAAAGAAGAATACCCATACACCCTACAAACCCTAAACCCACCCCCACGCAGGGGCGCCTGGAGCATGGCCCGGGCCAGGCCCAACCTGGCGAATCCATGGGGGAGACTTTGGGCGAACGTTTAAGGGGCTTAAGGGGGGTTTAGGGTTTAGGGTTTGGGGTTTAGGGTTAGAAGGTTTAGGGTTCAGGTTCTGAAGAACGGTTGCCCCTTTATCTGTGTCCCTTATACCTTACTATAGCCCCTAGATACCCTAACAAGAACCCCCTACAAAACAGAAACCCCACTTAAAGAGACCACCAACCAATATAAGGTTAGGATTGAAGGTTTAAAGTTTAGGGTTTAGGTATTGTTTAGGGTATTCGGCTAAAGGTCGGGTTCCGCCTCGACATAGGGGCTCGCAAGCCTCAGTTGAAGGCTACCCTTTGACAGACAGTAGTCGTGCTACGTGCCAATTGTGGTCTTGTTTCACATAGGAACCCTATAAACCCAACAAACCCTATATAAACCCTATAAGAATGCTTGGCTGAAAGGTCGTCTTCCTTATCAAGTCCTTCTGCAACTATACCGTGTGCTTAAGAAATCCCCCAAAAAACACAGCACGATAATCCCTAAGAGGGGGTTTACGAAGTTAATTGACCCCGAATATAGTCTCCAAATGGGCGCATTCCCATAGAATATGGATCCCAATAAGGTACTCGGAATTTCGGAAACCACCCAGATTACCCTTAATTCCAAGGAAGAATACTCTCCTTTTTTATGGCCTAAACCCTAAACCCTAAACCCTAAACCCTAAACCCTAAACCCTAAACCCTAAACCCTAAACCCTAAACCCTAAACCCTAAACCCTAAACCCTAAACCAAGACCTGCATAGGGCGCAGGGCCCTACGTTCTGGACGCAAAACCTTAAGCTGCACCGTCTTGGGTTCAGGGCTACTCAGGTCCGACCATTCTGAAAAAATCGTCGTTTCTTCGTATTGGAGTTTTACAGCTTGTTAGGGGCCCGTGCTCAACCCTAAACCGAAGCCCCAAACCCTAAACCACAAACCCTTAGTTCCAAAATCTGAAACCAAGCCGGCAGAGCTTCATGCGCCAGCCGCCGCTGAGCATCCGGATGGGCTGTTGCAACCTGCGCAAAGTCTGGCCTACACCCTACCCACTGCAAGCCTAGGCCTACAATCCAATGATGATGGCCATAATCTATTATTTGCTCAACCCCAAAAGAATAAAGAAACATATTCCTTATATTACCCTTAATAGGGAATATCATTTTTATTTTCCGGGGTTCTTAAGCAACTGGTGGTAATAACACTAACTAAACGTAGGGATGGGTGCAGGGGCAACTTGGAAGCGGCCAACATATGCAAAGGCAAAGGCCCAAAAAACAGATCCAAAGTGAGGTATATACAGGCTCAGGGTTATGCAAGGATTTTAGATCCCTAATCCCGAAACCCTTATACCCAAGAACTCCTGCTGGAGAACGAGCAACTCCTATTGGAGAACGAGCAATTGCGCTGACTTGCCATGTTCAGGCAGTTGGAAGAGGGCGTCATAAACGCCGGGCCATCCTGGCGTTTATGTCCTGCTTGCGATGTTCGATAGAGTCTTCTACAGACATGCCATGGGGTATGATCAGACCGATCATTCCGATCTTTTGGTCGTCGCCCCCTCCATACAGTCTGATGACCAGGCATTCGGACCAGGCGGCAAGCCAATGATGTCCCTCTACTTCGAGGGTCCAGGCCTTCTGCTGAAGCCCTTCGGAGCCGCCGTAGGCATCACCAGGAAATTGACCGCGGTGTGTGAATACGAATACGAGTGGTATACATCCGCGTCTATATCTATACTGATAATATGTCATGTGGCAAGTTAGCCATCTTTTTGAGAGCTTGATTGTACTTTGTACTTGCTGTGCACAGGCAAACACACCAGCCTTTGGAAAACTAGTGCCTCTGCACGAAGTACCTGAACCCTAAACCTAAACCCTAAAAGCCCAGCTGCAATTCAACTCAAAAGTCAGAGCTTAGCGAGAGGCTAAGAAAAGTAAGCTCCCCATGTAGCCTCCCTGCAGTAACCCTAAACCCTAAACCCTAAACCCTAAACCCTAAACCCTAAACCCTAAACCCTAAACCCTAAACCCGGGCATGTTGATAGCCACTACTTCGGCTGGGCATTAGGGTTGGAGGTAGTATAGCGTGCAGTGTTTACTACGAAATCCTTAAGAACCCTTGAAACTTCCTTAGAAGGGGTTCTGAATCAAATCGTAGTTTAGGATCTCTCTTCAGCCCCGGTACCTCCCAAAGAGTCGACCCCATGAGCGTTGAGGCGTTCGCTGCATTACCGCTTCTCTCGAGGCTGAACCCAGAGAAGCTCTGGAAGACTCTCTAGAAGCCCCTGAGGTTGCTTGCTAACTGTTGGGGAGGGGATGGAATGTTAGGGTTAGGGGAGCGGGGGGTTTAGGGTTTAGGGTTTAGGGTTTAGGGTTTAGGGTTTAAAGCCCCTTAAACCCTAAACCCCTAAAGCCCCAAAGCGAGGGTCACTCTTGGCGAACCAAACCTATAGATCATAGATGCCTAAACCCCTAAACCCTAAACCCTAAACCCCAAACCCTAAACCCTAAACTCTAAACCCTAAACCCTAAACCCTTATGATAAAAGGCGAGAAAAGCTGACGCGCGCGAGCACGCGAGCCTGGCACCCTGGGCAAAGCCCAGCGCGGAAAGCTGGGCGACGACCTGGCACACACGGTCTCGGGTTCTAGGGCTAAGGATTTCCTGGTAGCCCAGTAACCATATTGTAATAAGGGCACTCTTTTTTGGGGTTGGTTACTTTATAAGGGACTCTTAAACCAGAAAAAGGAGACCGGGTGGGTACCACTGGGCTACCAAGATTTGGGGGTTTCCGACAAAAAGGTTACCCTTTTGGGGGTTCCTATACTAAGGATTATAATACCATTTTGGTACCCGCTATTTTTGGACATGCCAATTTACCTAGTCTAAGCCCTATAAGCTCTAAACCCGAAACACTGAAGACGCTAAATACCTACACACCAGTAAAGAACCCCATAGGGAATACGAGCTAACTCTGATCCTATAAACCGTCAACCAACCCGAAATAAACCCTTCCAACCCTTCCTTAAAGAGCCTTGTAAGCCCTAATTCCCTAAGCTTTATTAAGTTGTTTCAAAAAAACTTAATAAACCCGTATGAACCCTTCATGAGACCCTGAAATAAACCCGAGAAAACGCTGTGAACAAACCCTTTTTAAGCCCTAAACCCTACTATAAATCCGAAACCCTAAACCCCAAACCCTAAACCCTGAGCCTGCCTCGGCCTCCGAGATCTGTATCATGCGGATCACCGGGTCGGCCATCAGGAACCTAAGGGCTCTGCGTTAGGGTTTAAGGGTTGGAGTTTAGGGTCTAGGGTTTAGGGCTTAGGGCTGACCAAACCCCAAACCTAAAGCACGAAAACCTTGACTAAACAGCCTAAAAAGTGCAACCTCAACACCCATAAGAAGCCTAGAAGCCCCGAGAAAACCAGACAGACAGCCCAAAAGCATAACCCTAAACACAAAGCGGCGGCCATAAACCCTGCCCTAAACCCTAAACCTTAAACAACCCTAAACCCTAAACCCGAAAAAATCGAAGGGGGCTCGAGGAGGTTTAAGGGTTAAGGGGTTAGATAATAGTTTAGAGTTGAGGACTGAGAGTTAGATGGTGTCGGGTTTAGGGCGTAGGTTGTTGATGGAAAGCTCTCCTACAAAATTCTTACAGCCTTACGGTATTTTGCAATGACGCGAGGTCTTGAGCTCTAGGGCAAGGTTCATGGTAGCACAGATGCGAAGGTAGCAAGCCACAAAAAACACAGCAACTGGAGGTTCGTGGGGCAAACGACCCTAAGCCCGAACTGAAACCTATCCCTGGTAGGACCTTTGACGAGGCGTCTGTGCCATGAACCCTTCACCCGAGACCCCAGGCCATAACCCGCAACCCCTAAAGCCCCAAAGGCCAACAGCCAGAAACCCTCAAAGGATTTAGGGTTTAGGGTTCAGGCGGCAGTACCTTCCTCAAAGCCCGGGGCATAGGTTTGCTGTCAATACACACTGAAAGCAAGCGCAAACTGCTGCCCCATCCAGTGCATCATCGTAGCCCTAAACCCTAAACCCCAAACCCTGAAAACAAGGAATAAGGGCATATGCATCATCTACGATTTGGCTTTTCGTTTCGTCGTCCTCGAGTGGCCAGTGCACTCAGAAACCCTACAAACCCTACAAACCCTGTAAATAAAAATAAACCATCAGCCCACAAACCCTATAAGCCCTGTCATCCCAATACCACCCAAAAAACACACGATCAATAGACCGCATTACCCCTACAAGCTCTATAAACTCTATCTAGACCCAAAAACAGGGTACCCTTCTTGCTTGAATGGGCCTTATAAGGAAACCTAAACCCTGAAAACAAGGAATAAGGGCATACCCTGGGCCCTAGCGATCATTCTTCCTTAATGGGAATATAGGGAATATTGTATATTCTTTTGCGGTTCTTTAGCAAATAGTAAACCCAGGAGTCCCATGAATGGCAGCTCCGGAACTCAACCGGCGTTTGGTCGCAGTCCGGGGCGCGCTCGCCGACCTTTGAGAACTTGGGGGTTGTCAGGGGCTTGTGGTGACTACTTTGCGGCTACTGTGGCGAAAGAAAGAAGGAAAGAAAGAAAGAAAGCAAGACCGAAAGAAAGACAGAAAGAAAGCAATCAAGAAGGAAAGAATGAAAAGAAAGGAAGAAAGAAAGGAAGAAAGAAAGATAGAAAGAAAGATAGAAAGAACGAAAGTGAGCGACAGAGATGGAGAGAGCCAAGAGCCTGAGGCCTGCACCCCCTCGCTTTTGCGCCTTACATACCCCCCTCCCTAACTAGCATGATACTGCTTTTTAAGCCGAAGATTGAGAGTGCTATTGTCTTTTGGTAGGCCAGTAACCATCTATGACAACAAGGGCACCCTTTTCGGTGTGTGTTTACTTTCAGAAAGGACCCCAAAACCTCAAGACTTGAGCGTTTATGGTCCTAAACCCTCAACCCTAAACCCAAAACGCCCTAAACGCCCTAAGCCCCGAACCCTGAAGACTGCCTGCCGGGCCCCTCTAAGGCGGAAGCGCCGTGCTCAACGAGGGCTGTGCGCAACTCGGATGCCTTATTGGAAGTTGGTTTCGGGAATTTGGGGGAGGGGTTGTGGGGAAGTCTGAAAAACCCTAAGCCCTCGACCCTACTTCCTGAACCCTGTAAGGAAATTTGCTGTTCGTTGGCCTAAAACCAAAATAAGAAAACCCCAAAAGACACAAAAGAGCCCCAAAACACCCTTAACAACCCTCAAAGCCCCAAAAGCCCTAAAACCCCTAAGAGCTCAGGGGACTCCAAACGCGAGGCGCGCGCTGGAGGGAAGCCCGAGACCCGACGGTCGTGGATGGCACGGAGGAGCGTGCCTTGGCAGATGTACGGTGCATGATATCAGATTCTCCAGGGGAGGGGGGGGACCATATATATATATATATGAGCCCGGAACCTTTAGGGTTTATTTAGCATAGAGTTTTTCTTTTCGCTTTAAATACGGAATATAAACAATTTAGTATGTAAGTGTATATTTATACTTTTGTAGGAACCATAAGTTCTACTTGAGAGTCAACTTCGCCTTGTGTCTGTGGATACCATTACTGTTGATGCTTGTGTTTTAGACAAGTCGCACATCTAACTTATTTATCCGTTTGGATGCAACAAAACGATCAACCCTCCACACCGGTGTTGCATATCTTAAATGCACTTGTTTTCTGCAGCTTTCTTTGTTTTCATCTGCGGCTTGTTCACTTATTAGTGTTTGTGATCTTTATAATGCTGATGCGATGGCAATAGTATGCTTACTGGTGTTCCTAGCATTGGAAGCACAACTAACATTATGAACATATTATGACTTATGTGAGTACTATTGGTAATGTTCGCAATATAAGTACTAGTCCTAGCGCGAGCTGTCAATATAAGCAAAAAGCATGGCGTGTTGTGCGGAACATTCGAAGTCGAGGATTACTTGTGCTAAGCATAAGTTTGACACATCTTATGCTCCCAATTTGACAGTTCGTGACTTCAATATCACCAAATAACATTGCAGTGCGTTGGCAGGATTGCTAATTAACACTAACATCACGACAATCCTAATCATCCTAATCTTGCTGGTAGTGCATATGTCTTTTGACAAGTCTACTACGAAACTGCACTATCTGTCGAGATTAGCCATATGACTAGTGCGAGTACTATTAATGTTCCACACTCTTTAGTAGGGGCCTCCTGAACAAAGTCAAAAATGGCCGGGCTGTTCAGGACACTCCGACTGTTTGGGTTTGGGGGCGCGCGTTGGGATCCTGAATAAAGGCAAACCGTCCGGGCGCCGTAAGAAAATTCCACGCGGCGCGCCTTTAAAGGATTGCTGGGCATCGCTGCCCTGTAAACTTATCCTAACTCCTCTCAAATAAATTCATATATATCCCGTGGACAGTGTAAACAGGAACAAGAAAGGGGGGGGGGGGGCAGGTCTAAAGAGGGTGCAACATCAGTGTTGTGAGCAATGTTTTTTAGCCCACCACTGGGAAACTCAACAATGTCACTAACAATAGTACCATAGCGTCATTAGCCCCTGTGGCATGATTAGTCCGATAAGATTATAATATGAGATCAATTAGTAATATGATTAATGCGAGTAACATGAGTGCTAGCAAGCCTAATACAATTTATGACACTAGTAAGCTTGGTAATGTTGTAACTGGAATTGCAATTTCTTGTCATTTACTTTTAGTTATGCTATTGATCATGCTAGTAAGCTAATACGCCTACTATACCGAACATTGCTGAATATAATACTAGTATCACGCTACTGATATTAGTAGTATTGGGACCATTCCTATAAACATGAAGAAAGGTTTACTTCTTGAGCTGCATTTTAGCTGCAGGATGGTTTGCGGTTAGTACTCCAGTGACTCTTTGGGCATAGTTTGGTCTTGTGCGCTCTAGGGACTTTACGAGGATACTCTACGGCTGCGCGCTTCAGCGATTCTGGAATACTCTAGCACAAGCCTTCCAGGGCTTTTCCGGTGATCCTTTCGGCTTATTTTGGAAGACTTTGGGTTTTGGTATTCTAGAGACTCTTTCGGGCAACCGTGCAAACCAATGAGTGATTTAGAAACCAAGTAAACTCATAATTTTTCTAGAAGTACGTGGTGCAGGGAACTTTGTGGCCCACGCCGCAGAGCGATAGTGATAACAGCAAGAAATCACTCGGGGGCTCTCTATGACATCAATGAGTGTTGTAGGAACCAAATAAATTTCGTCACACAAACACATGGTGTAGGTCATTTGTTGACCGACACCACATAGGAACAGTGAGAAGACTATGAAATAACTAGGCCACCGTATATTAAATCAGTATGTGGTGTGGAACCAGGTAAATTTACGAGCACATGGTGTAGGGAATGCTGTGGCATACGCCACATAGGGATAGTAGAAAAACTCAAGAAATCACTGGGAAACTGTATATGATATCAATGAGTGTTGCGAGAACCAAGTACATATTTTTATACAAGCACATGGTGTAGGGAGCGTTGTGACCCACAATACGTAGGAACTGAATCACTGGGCAACCGTACATTAAATCAATAGGAACTAAGAATTTTTGCTTGTGCAAGCAAAGAACAATGAGAAAACCATTTAGTCACCAGGCAACGGTATAAAGTAATGAATCCGCATAACAATATCACCATGTTTACTGTTCATATCAATAGCGTTCTTAGCAGTGCTGGCATTGCTCATGTTCATTATATTTTGTGTTAGCGCGATCCGAAAGCAAGGCCCTTGCAAGGACGCTGTGACTTTTCCTCGATACCATACGAGTACTATGCTGATACTACACGAATACTTTACCGCTGCCAGACTAGGTACCAGCACCAAGACCAAGACCAATAATAGTACTAACACGAATGCTAAAACTACCAGAAACTCTATACTACACTACACTATACAAAATAGCCGGGACATAGCCGGGACTTTTGGGGTCTCTTTCGTTGCGTTTGTTTCATTCCTATCAAACGCTCGTATATGTATATTGTCAAAAAACTTTAAAGATGCACATGCCGAATAATCCGACGTCCTATTTTATCTTGTCTTTTGGACTTGCATTGTTGTTTTTGGCTTTCGCTTTGCTTTGCTTTCTTTGCGTGCTGCTTGCCTACATTTAAAATGCGGTTTGCTCATGGATCCATGACACGAGCAAAAAATCCTACACTGCTATTCTGAAAACGAATTCGTGGTTTTGTGGTCATGATAACTGTTCACGTTGCTGTTCTTGCACGCTGCTTGCCTATGTCTTTTCGAACTTGTGTTCTTCATTTATCTATAACACTTGGATCGATGAGGGGCGCTGGCAAGCTAAACAGCGAAAACACTCCGCCCGAGTTTCATTTCATGGGTTCGCGTTGCAGCTTCAGACTTTTACCCATTCGTGCCAACCCACAGCCCGAAAACACCCAGCACCTAGCCCTCCAGCATTAAACAAAACACATGAGCGAAATGGACCGAAAGGCTGCTCGTTCATATATATATATATATAATGTTTTTACTTCCTAGTCTATATGTGCTCAATTACGTAATTTCATTGAGACAGTAGCGCACGTGCCTTTGCCATTTGACATTTTGGATAGGTTCTTACAACAAAACATGTGTGGACTCTGCTTGCGACTTGTCAATTGTTGATATATTCCGTAGCAACTAACGGGGACACTGCTGGCGATCTGTGATTTTGGGACATCTTCTTTCAACAAAAAAACTACGGGGGACACTGCTTGCGATTTGTGAATTCAGAAGAAAACTAAGGGGGGACACTGCTTGCGATTTGTGATTTTGGCATATATACTTTCAGGATTAAACTTATTGGGGACACTGCTTGCGATTTGTGATTTTGGGACATCTTCTTGCAGCATAAAAACTAAGGGGGACACTGCTTGCGATTTATGAGTTTGGATAGTTCTTCATTCAGCAAAAAACTATGGGGAACACGGCTTGCGATTTGTGATTTTAGCACATACTCTTTCAGCAAGAAAACTGAGGGTGACACTGTTTGCGATTTAGGAGTTTGGATAGTTCTTCATTCAGCAAAAACTATTGGGGACATCGCTTGCGATTTGTGTTTTTGGAATTCTTTCAACAAAATCTCATGGGGACGTATCCATTACATTCCGTAACAAACTAAGGGGGACACTACTTGCGATTTGTGATTGTGGGACATCCTCTTCTTGCAGCAAAAACAAACTAAGGGGGACACTGCTTGCGATTTGTAACTTTGGAGAATACTCCTTCAAAAAAAACTATATATGGGGGACACTGCTTGCGATTTGTGATTTTGGGACATCTTCTTTCAGGGGACACTGCTTGCCATTTGCGAGTTTGGCACATACTCTTGTAGAAAAAACTAAGAGGGACACTGCTTGCGACTTGGTTTTGGTACATAGGCTTAGAGGAAAAATATGGGGCACGCCGGGCACACTGCTTGCGATTTGTGACTTGGGACCATTTTCCTTACAGCAAAAAAATAAGGGTGACACTGCTTGCGATTTGTGAATTTGGGATATATTCTTTCAGCAAAAAGGACTATGGGTGGACACTGCTTGGGATTTGTGATTTGGGGGGCATCTTCTTGCAGCAACAAAAACTAAGCGGGGACCCTGCTTGCGATTTGTGATTTTGGGACATCTTCTTTCAGCAAAAACCAAGGGGGACACTGCTTGCGGTTTTTGATTTTGGGGCATCTTCTTGCAGCAAAAAAATTAGGGGACACTGCTTGCGATTTAGGAGTTTGGATAGTTCTTCATTCAGCAAAAAACTATGGGGGACGCTGCTTGCGATTTGTGATTTTGGAATTCTATCAACAAATTCTCATGGGGACACTGCTTGCGATTGCTCAATGTCCATTCCGTAACAAACTAAGGGGAACACTGCTTGCGACTTGTGATTGTGGGACATCCTCTTCTTGCAGCAAAAGAAACTAAGGGGGACACTGCTTGCGATATGTAACTTTGCAGAATACGCTTTCAACAAAAACTATGGGGGACACTGCTTGCGATTTGTGGTTTT